GTGACAGCCTGTACATTCAGAAATATGATACTGATCTCTTCTTCTCTCTGACAAGTCCACTGTACCTTGACTGTTGCCACATAACTTAAGCTTAAGAAATTAAAAAGAGATGTGGAGATACTCAGGTCAGAGACCTGTGGTGTTTTAAGAGCTGGATGGCCTGTTCCTCATGAGCAAAAGAAAAGTGAAAGAAGCTCGTGAGTAATTTAGGCCAGAATAGGATGTTAAAAAACAACACGCACGTTTAAAGCAGGTTGTTTTTTGTGTGCTAGCTTGGGGGTCAATTTTAGAGCTGTAACTTCCAAGTAACTACCTTTTAAATGAATCGGGCAATGTTTATATCTGTATAAAGTGTATTGTGTATCGCATGTATTAATATACATTTTCAAAAAAAAGTGTCAACGTCATGGTGATATGAAGCAGAGATAACCTCCATGTTAGAGAAGTAATAACCACCAAGTGTTTGGCATGGACTAAATGATTATTCAAACTGACACTTAACCTACATTCACTAACTTAGAATCTATATAGATGTTCCTGCAAATAAAATGAGAAACTTGTGTGTGTGTCATACAACAGTGGCTGTGTTCATTTTTCTGCCATCTTATTTTAATGGTTAGCAGGGGGTGTCACCCACATGTGACTTTGCAGGATGTTAACAGTGTCAAGCTAAAAGCTTCATTTACAATGCAGAGCATGGGTCACATTTATGATTTCATTCCATTCAGTCAGCAGTTGTCGGGGTCACAGACTAAGGGGAAAATATCATGCACGTCTTGAAATGGCTCCTCAAAACCTGATGAGGAATCCCATTAGGGTATCTCCAGGAGCAGATTGATAGCAGGAGCACCTAGCTGAGCGAAAACACTTAAATCCCCACAGAATGTACTCGCCTGCTCTGAACACCCAGCGGAGCCCCAGACCACACCCAAAACCTGCCATCCAGAAACTGTGGCCTCATCTGCTGTGGGGTGCAAATAATTAACCCCAATAAATCATGTTTTTGTTCTGTTCCGTCTTTCTTTTCATTAAACTGAACCTTGTGACTATACACGGCCAAAATTGCTACAGCAAAAAGCTTTAGAGACTGAAGTATTTTGGTGTCTGTTTCTCTGCAGTTTTTGCCCTTGATAGTGGGATGTCTTGTTGTATGAAGCTGATAGCAGGTTGATTTTTCTTTAATGGCAGCCGTAAACAGAAATATTTCCTCCTCCAAATCCCTCTACAGCGACTTGCAGTACAGAGACTAGAGAGAAAGAGAGAGAGAGTTATTTGCTCCAGCACTCAGCAGGATGTCTATTAGTACAGAGGTTGCTGTGTCATGGGAGGACATAGCCAGCACTTCCCACAAAAATGAATAGATTGCTGATCTGGTGCGAGGGTGCAGCGCAGCAGAGTGGAACCTCGGCGGAGTGCTTGTCTGCCTGGCTGGCCTTGTCCTGCGGGAGCTCTAGTTCAACCAGCAGGTGGATGAAAGACCCACTGTGGGCCGCAGATGGTGTACAGCCTGGGTTGGAGGAGGGAGATGTCGGAGGGTGGAGATGGACAGGCTCACAAAGACTCTCTCCACCCATCCCCATATCCAATTGACTCACATGATTCCACTGCTAAAGAAGAATCCCCAGTTGTGGGGCTGGAGGGAGGGAGGCAGGGTGGGGGAGTCATCCGTATACAGCTGGGTTACAGCATCAAGGTCCGAGCCTCAGGGAGAGGCAGAATTTACTCTTAATGGAAAACAAGTATACCCTATGACCTCAGCTTTGGTCTTTCCCCATGTGGTAATTTCTGTTTCCCTTAACCCCTCGACTTCTTTTCCTTTGTGCTGCTGACTGTCTCGTGGTCTGCTTCTCACTTCTGCTTACTGGCTGCTGTCAGGGCTCAGACCACAGCTACAGAGTGAGGCCTGTCAGGTCTATTGTTGGTCATTGAACGCTTGTCAGAATTGAGAGTATATTTAACCGCACAGACATGCACAGTTTTGCTCTCCTCATGACATCTCGTAACATCAGGGAGTGGGGATTAAAGGCTGCGATATCCGCATAAATATGTTCAAATGCTTTTTGAAGAAAAACACTGATATTGACATTTTGTGACATTTTGTATTTTCTTTATGCTGCTAATCCATCCACAGTAAAAGAGAAATGTCATGACAGTAAGTAAGTGAATGTTTGCTTTCAGTAAAGCCCATAGGCAGTAGCTTAGTGGTTTAATACAGGGTGGTAGCTATATGTAATTGCATGCATTAAGGGGATGGAGGTTGTGTTAATGTGTCCTTTTCCAGCAGTGTGGACATAGCACTCCAGTTAGATGGGACGGAATAATGGAAAGTGTTTATCTGTGGCTGTGCAGCTCCTCACATAGGTCTCTAATTACCATGTCACCCTGAGATAATTCAGGAGACAGGACTGTTCACACCCACACACACACACACACACACACACACACACACACACACACACACACACACACACACACACACACACACACACTGAATCAATACCTGTCTGAAGGTGAATTCTGTACGATGTAAGGTAGCCTTGGCGTGCGCTGTTCTCATAAGTCCCCATGTATCCTCGTGTAACCTGTTTAAATGGATGTGTCAGGTTGTATTTAACAGAATAGACAGACATTGAGACAGAAGGACAGTAGGATAGTGTGGATTTCATGTGCATGGAAATGTCTGGCTGTGTGAGTATTTCAGCAACCTTGTGCCTTAACCCAGACTCATGCAGACATGCAGAAAATGTAGACCTCCAGAATGAGCATGAGCCTGCATTGAGAGAGCATTCATGCTTCAGAGGATGAGCCCTCTCCATTTTGAGATTTGAGATTTGAGATTTTTGTGTTTTCACCATGCCCATACCAAATATAAGATATTTGATTGTAGGGACTTGATGTTGTTTCTTCAGTATAAACCTTTAGGGATACATTGCATTTGTAGTCTCATCGCTAGTTTGGCTGTAAGAACTGAAAAATCATCAGTATGTTGTTTGCTCTCTCTGGTCGCATCTCACGCTTTCTTATTGCTGGAAGTAATAACAGTGCAGCCTTCAAGCACAGTCAGACTCGGGGCTGTAGGTATCTAGACTTAAAGATTTATTGGAAACTCACATTTCAAACAAAACATTCATGATACAATTTTAAATTACTTTAAATTTTGTATAAATGGGAAAAAATGAGGACAGATGACTGAGTGCTGAGCTTCACCATCAGTATCTGCTTGAGTGCTGTGACTCCTTCACATTGACATTCTTGGGCAGGAGAGCCAGTATCTAAATATTTTATCATAAGAGGCAGATGCAGATGTGAAGCTATGCTCATATTCATTGACTGGAAGAAGGATTAAATTCACATTCTTGTTGCAGAATAGAAGCTTCTTACCTGAATAATGCAGGGCCGTGATTTTGCAGCAAATTCAGTAGTAAAGGAGACCATAAGCATTATTATCAGGTTTTAATTACAAGTAAATACTTTCTATTTCTTTCCTTTTTAATATTTTTTTCAAGAATAGTACAAAAATACAATAACTATACCTAATTTATATTTCTATCATCTTTGCAAAATGCTTTTGGCAATGCTACAGGCATGGCTCGAGGGATCCAGGCTAAAATATCTTAACAACAATCAATGTGGCAATAATAACTGCTGCATGGATTGCCCTTGGATGATATTTGGTACAGATATTCATGGTGGTTAGAGGATGGAGCCTACTGACTTTGGTGATCTCCTGACTTTTCGTCCTGCTCCACCATGAGGTTGACATTTATCGTTTTAAGTGAAATGTCTCAACAGCTTTTGAATGGATTATTATTTTCCCTCAAGCGCTGTCATCAGGTCAAAGCTGCAGTCTGTTCAATACTTTGGTTTATGACTAAATACAAAACTATAAAGACATTATCATCAGCCACACCTATATTTTGTGATTATTGCCCTGCTAGCATTAGCAGTTAGCTTATATCACTTTTGTGTCTAAGAGCAGCCTTAGCCTACAGAGTCATTAGCTAGTATGGCTTATGACTTTTGCTACAGTATATTAGAAAATTGTCTTTTCTGTCATTTAGCATGATTTAATTACATTACATTGCTAATATGCTAAATTTATGTCAATATATTACATTTACATATGTACACTGACTTTAGTTGTACAAGTAGATAGATAGATAGATAGATAGATAGATAGATAGATAGATAGATAGATAGATAGATAGATAGAGCAACGCAGCACAGCAAGAGGAGACATTTGCTGCAGCTGCAGCTGCTTTTCTGTCTTGTCAGAATGTTGTGGAGAGGGTGGTTGGTATTGCCAAAGATGGCCTCCATTTTACATTGCATGCGTCTCTCAACAACAGTCCAGTATAGTTACATAACACAGGCATCGAAGACCATTTAAAAAAAGAAGCTCAGAGAGATAAATCCTATACATTTGTTTTTGTAAATTATTCTAGACTATCCAGTGGTATAGAAAACCTACCACTCTGCTGCACAAACAGTTGCCCAAATCTCCCTGTTTTTTTTACCCATTTGGTGATTATCTTCTGTTGCTTAAAACTGATCTCTTCAATAAAAAGCTTTCCACCCATTCATACAAATCTAAAGCCATTACTGTGCCACTCCCAGTGAGATTGATCTTGGAAATACTGAGATATTACACTGCCAGTAGCACTCAGAACTTCAAGGCCCAAGACTCTGGTGTAATATTAGACCCGTGTTCGATGAAAAGGAACGCTAGTCCCTGCTCCGTCATGGAAACATATCGATCAGTCTTTCATGCCTATGACCTCCCATACCTAAAGGAAGCATATTGGACGATGCCCAGATCTTGCAAAGTTAACATGTATGTGTCCTGTATGTTCAAAGTGTACACATTTTATCATCTTCTCTTTCTCCACCTTGCAGATTTGTCCAAGAATCGCCTCACAGAAATCCCCCCAGAAGTGTGTCTGTTCGCCCCCCTCGAGTCGCTCAACCTCTACCACAACTGCATCAAGTGCATCCCAGAAGCTATCATCAATCTGCAGATGCTGACTTATCTCGACATCAGGTGGGTCACTGCTAACACTGTTCTTTCAGTTTACAATGTTTATGTGTGTTCAGTTTTATATCTCTCAAGAGGCGCTTGTTCCCCTTTCACTACGCTAACAGGGTGAAAAGGCTTACATGAAAGAGAAGCATTTCCTCTTTTGCTGAAACTCAATTCCCAATCACCAGATACTCACTGTTACATGCTTCTGTACTCCATTTTAAAACTAGGTCAATGTTCTGTCTTTCTCCACAGTCGAAATCTCCTGTCGGTTTTGCCAAAATATCTGTTCAACCTCCCCCTCAAAGTTCTGCTCGTGAGCAACAACAAGCTTGTGTCCATCCCCGAGGAGATCGGCAAGGCCAAAGAGTTGATGGAACTGGTGAGCAGTGTGTATGCATCAGTGCATATGACCTTGTGTACAGTATATTGCACATCCCATTTCCTACACTTTGCCTCCCCTTGCAGGATGTGAGCTGTAATGAGATCCAGGTGCTGCCAGCTCAGGTGGGGAGGCTTCACGCCTTACGAGAACTCAACATCAGGAAGAACTGTCTTCACATGCTGCCTGAGGGTCAGTCCATTTTCATCACTGATTTATTTTGGTACATCTGGCAAGAATACAATCACATCATAGCCAAGAATCACATACATACAGTGTCAGCTGTCATGTTACTGTGGGCGAAGCCAAAATCACCTTGATGATATGGGTAAAATGTAGTTCTGTTCTCATATAACAGAAGTGAACCATTCCTGAAGAGCAGCAATAAGACACACTTGAATGATTTTTGATTGAAGCAAAACAAACCTTGCAGCCTCTCATTTTGCTTGTATTTGATGAAGTGACAAGGGTAAGCAGGGGTGGATTGAAATAATAACTCAGGCTGGGAATTTGGCTCCATCAGGCCGCTAATCTTGTTGGCTAACCCTACTTGTTGATGTGACAGGTACCAGACCGGTCGCAGTTGGCCAATATGTTTATCTGCGAGGAAAGTTATACAGATTACAAAATACAAATATTATGTCAATTATGTCAATAAGTCAATGGAGAGAGAGAGAATTATTTTTTTAAGGGCAGAGGTGCTCTCTCCCTCTCTCTCTCTCTCTGAACGAGGGTGAATAAAAATTGACTGCTTTCTGGTTACAAATCTTCACTTTGGTGTAAAATTACAAAATTTAACATGATCACACCCTTAAATTTGAGGGTGGAGCAGAAATAAGACTGATATGGAGTTGGTACAGTCTTTAGGGTGATGCAGCATGTTGATAAGGTCGAACTCACCAGCATAACAAAGCATACACTGTGTTCCCCAATCCCCAGTGCATCACATTCAACAAAAGCTCTTTATAAAACTCTTTTCTTGTCTGTTCTTGCAGAGCTGGCTGACCTGCCCCTCATCCGACTTGACTTCTCCTGCAATAAGATCACAGAGATTCCTCCAGCCTATAGGAAACTCAGGCAGCTGCAGCACATCATCCTAGACAACAATCCTATGCAGTCTCCACCCGCACAGGTATGTGCATTGTTCAGTATCTATGTATCCATGTGGTGGCAAACAGGCAGCACAAATGGGTTTTCTGGTTTCCTGTATATGGTTGAGTTGACAGGTTGTCATTTCCCCTCACAGTCTTATGAACCTGGTGCAACTGCGACATCTAGTGGATGAGCGAACGCTAATACTAACTCAGACTAAACGGAGACCCTATGAACATTTTTATGTTTCAGATTTGTCTCAAGGGCAAAGTGCACATATTCAAGTACCTGAACATCCAGGCGTGTAGGATGGACAAGAAACCAGACACCCTGGACCTCCCTTCCCTCGGCAAACGCTGCCTTCCACAGCCACTTACAGATAGGTACTGACATCGTGACATGAAGCATATTAGTTTTTCACTTCTGTTCTTATTATATCCTGTTCCTGTTACACACACACATATATATATATATATATATATATATATATATATTACAACTGGATGTAACATATAGTTATTATTTTTTTCATTATTATTTTTATCGGTATCAAATGGCATCAGCAAATGTTCATTCACTGTGATGGACAGAAACCCTGATGATGAGCTGTTTGTTTTGCGTATTTCCAGCATGGAAGATTTTTATCCCAGTAAGAACCACGGGCCTGACTCTGGAATTGGTAGTGACAATGGTGACAAGAGGCTGTCTACAACAGAGGTCAGCATTCAAACACTAACTGATGGCATTGCCAATACATGATGAGTGTGTTTTTGTGTTGTACTACTTACCAGGATGTCACAGTTTGAGATACATAACTGTCAAAGTACACCTTGTGAACTTTTTTTGAGTCACCATTTAAATTGCTGCTGCTAGCCAGCCGGGGTTAAATTTAGCTTAACTCTGTTGACTGTCTGTTACCATTTTTGGGTTCAGGCAGTGGGAATCAAAAGTAGACTCTTAAGACAAAGCAGTAAAGGGACATGACTGTCTTTATTAGATTGAAATTCAGCCTTGCTGAACACCAGAGGAGCGAAACACTGGCTGAGGGTCATAAGAAAAGGCAGGCAGACTGCACAAAACAGTGGCTGGATATGTCATATCAAACAGGCCGACTGGTGGACAGATGGGGAATAACTGGGTCTAAAATGATGAGCCGCGTATTGTGCCGTTCTTGACGGCAGAATAACTTTAGAGACTTGAAAGTCAGGTTCAGGGGTATGTCTGGGTAGACGTTTAGAGTGGGCTATGACTGTTAAAATTCAACTGATCGCAATCATGGCAAGAGATGAAAGCACTGATATATGGTGACTATACAAACATAAATATCAGCCGCAAAGTTAGAAAGAAAACAAGGCAGATAAAACAGATTCACGGTTGAATCAAATGAAACTGCCATGAAAATTCCACAGTTACTCATCGGCCGTTTACTCCTCATTCTTGTCGTCTCCTGCAGCCTTCAGACGACGACACTGTCAGCCTGCACTCTCAGGTTTCAGAGACAGCCCGTGCTGATGCCCTCTCACTCCTCTCCAAAATGGACTCTTGCAAAGGTTACCGAAAATAAGTATCACACATTGCCTTTGAAAGCAATAACAGAGACACGGGGTTGTTGAATGAAGTGCCTAAAATGTGACAGTTTGTGTGATCAACGCGGATGCTTCCTCCCTCTATCAGATCAGGATCTCTATGACTTTATAGAGCCCAACCCTGACGAGGATCCTGCTCTGTCAGAGTGTGATGGACAGCAGAGCAGCCATGTGTCTTGTATAAAGGTATGAATCAATCTATCTATGATCTGTATACACAGATGCATGCAGACATATGCAAACAACACAATTTGGGAAAAGGATGATGACCAACAACAAGAAAAGTATGGGAAATCCAAGGGAGGTTCACCATAGATAAAATTAGCTTCTGTTTAATGGTCTCTAACGTGGTGTGTGTGTGTGTGTGTGTGTGTGTGTGTGTGTGTGTGTGTGTGTCATGGTCTGTTTCAGGAACTGGAGAAAGTTCTTAACATGTCCCACCAAAGCAAAGATAAAGACAGCTGGAAAGAGGAGTCAGGGTGAGTTCATTATTCAATAAATCAGTCAAACAAATAGCTTGTTTCAGCTTGAGTTGTGATGACACATGTTGTGTCTGTGATGTAAATGCTTTTATTATGTTTAATTACTTACAAATGCACCATCCTGTGCAAAGACTTGCAACAGTTCTGTGGAAGTAATGAGTTCCTTAACCAAAGATTTGAGTCACCAGAGCATCAAAACAGTAATGGACCAGATATGCACACAGAAGTTCTCCAGCTGTTGTTTTGCAGTGTTAATCTAACATTTTGACAATGCTATACCTCTATATATTTTTAATTCACCTTGACTGTGATAATACTGCAGCACTAAGCAGAAAAAAATGTTTCCAGAAAACCATTGTAAATCAGGAAAGGAAGGCTGAGAACATATTCTCCTACAATGAGCTGACCACTGCCCCGCAGCACTGACTAGTGATTACAGAAGATGTCTGCTCCATTAGTCATCTAGATGGCAAACCCCCAGTGTAAGCAGATAACTCATGTCATCACAGCTGCAGTTACACACTACCTTGCTCAGCATGATGACTAATCTGCTGTCGTTGACAGACTTCTTCAACTACTACTCTGTTTGATGGACATCTCTAGGCTATGTATGTAAACACAAGAGAATCTGTTTTGCTATGCTTGCAGCTATCATGAATGGCCGCATTCAGCGTGCAGTCTCGTAGAACATCTGCAAATATTTTTGCAAGATTGTACTGAATAATGTTACACAGTCATGTGCAGCATTGATGATCAAAAAAACAAGACGGCTTGACTTGTAACTTTTAACTAACTTTTAGCTGTCAACGAGGATTTAGTGTTTTGACAGATACATTGAGGCTTTTTGAATTTGTTTTTTTGGTGACATAGGGTTTGGGAATTTGTGTCCAGATGACTGTGTGTTGTTGCCAAAGCTAATGACTCAAAAGGGAAGCTGTGCACTGCCTGTGATGGAACTAACTTTGACTTTGAACTTGTTGCAGTTCTGACAAGGAGCAGCTGGTTGAGGAAGAGGATGATGAGCTGAAAGAAGTGCTGGATCTGAGGAAGATTGCTGTTCAGCTTTTGCAGCAGGAGCAGCAGAATCGGTGTGTGTGGTTCTCACAGCTCTTTTGGCAGCACAACAAAAGCCATCCTATATTTACTGAAACACTACGCGTTGGTTTAGCTCTTCATTCGCTGCACTGCTTAAATCCACATTTCTTGTGATCGTCTCTGCTTACTCATCGTCAGGCTAACAGCTTACAGGGGAGATTGTTTCCCAGGATCTGATATTTATTTGCTTTGGCTCTTACTAAGATTTAGAGCTGCACATGGTGTGAAAAAATCCTCACATCAGCCCAATTTTTGTGGATTCATTCTCTGTTTCTCATTTTCCAGATAGATGTTTTTCCTTATGTCCCCAAATATCGCTCCATCAGCACCACCTGTACTATTTTCCTTCTGCAAATCTTATCAAGTCAGCTTTACCTCACTTTCTCTCTGTCCATTCCTTGTTCCCTGCTTTCTCCCTTGACTCGGCCGCTTCACATTTGATGTACGGCTTCTAGACGACGGTCCTTAATTTGCAGAGCAGAGAGTCTTATTCACCGACGGAGAGTGACCGGCCGGGCACACAGGTAGAGCGGGAGACAGTCTGTGTGTCACACTGGGTAGATGACCTCTGGTCAAACATACTGACACAACCAGTCTCTGGTGTTTCATTATCTGCCTCACAACAAGTACAGTACATAATTAATGCTATTCTGTAAAAACATACTTTCCCGTGCAGGTTTCATTAAGGCTTTTTTTAAATGGATATCAGGAAGTTTCTTTTCTATGAATGTACCAAAAAGTTTCTACCTCAGGGATTTAGCTAATTTTTCCCATGAGATGGTTTATGCAAACTTGAGTAAGTTGTGTATAGATCAATACTCTTGATATAACAAAGTCTAGACAGTAAAGATACACTCTTAAATACAATACATTCCATTGTGCACATTAGTTTCCTTTTGCTGCTCAACTGATGGGATTTCTGTTGAATTTGACTCAGGCCAGCCCCATTTGTAAACATTTTACTGTAAATGATTCACCTTGGGAAAATTTGGAGTGCATTATTTTGCTTGAGTCATATCCATTTCAGTAGTTGTTGTCTTACAGCAATGTGACTGAATCTCTTTCTGTCTGCAGGTTCCTCAGTCACTCTGGAAGCTCCAGCAGCAAACCAAGGCCTCCGCCTCAGACCGCTCGAAGGTACGTACTCAGTCACGTACTCAGTCACGTGCTCAGTCACGTGCACCGTACCTGCACATGTTGAGTCCTGTTGAACAGCGGTTGTTGAGGCCATGAGGTATTGATAACCAAGAACCTAGCTAATTTATCTGCTCTGTCCCTCTCTCAAAGGAAACTATAGAGACAGAATTTCTAATTACTACAATTTATCTACATTTTATTTAAAGAAATTAAGCAGAAAAAAAAAAGAGGCAAATACTTCATGGCTACATTGAATCCTAATATTATAGCCGAACACAGCTAGTAAGCCATAATATTTTATAGGGTTGCAAATAATATTAATTTTGTTTTGTTCATTTGGTTGATCTGTCCTTAAGTCTATACACAGAGGTGGACAGGTGAACAGGGTTGGAAAGGGGAACGCCAGTTGGTTGTATGAACAAGATAAATAATAGTAATCTGAAGAATGTGAGAATGTCAAGCTGTGCAAGAATGAGCAGTGCAAATACAAAACTATTGAGACAGAGCAGTAATGAGTGCAATAGAGTTTGCTGTTCAGCAGGGTCACTGCCTTAGGGAAGTTGGTTAGCGTGAGATGCTTTGACAATGCTGCCCGCCCTGCCCCAGCAGCGTGCATGGAAAATGCTTTTATTGGTGGGAAATTGGGTGCTGGTGATCCAGTTTTCCTCACCTGCAGGAGTGCTTTACAGTCTGATGCAGAGCAACTGCCATACCACGCTGACAAATTGTTGTAAAAGTAGTGAAAATTTACCTTCACATTTCCAGTCAGAAAAGATGAAATCTTTTTGACATCATAAAAATATTTTTCTTTTATATTTGTCTTTATAATTCCCAATTTATTTATTCTTTTATTAATCTTTGTTTATATTTCAACATTTATTTTCTTATTATTTTTAGGAACTTTTTATGCTTTCATACCCATGGGCTGTTCACCCTTCCTGCACCACCCATCATGTGGAGCAGGACTGCCAAGCTCTCAGTTCCGTTCTTTTCAAAACACACACACACACACACACACACACACACACACACACACACACACACAAGGACTGATTGAATACATATATTCAGCTCTCTCTCTGCTGATAGTATTTTATTTTTTTATACCACTTGTTGCTATTGTCTGCTGTTACACTGTGCAAGTCAATGCTTCTATTATCTCAGCAATTTATTAGTATACTGCAGTGTTAATGTTTACACAGTCATATCGTGCGGTAAACCACCTGTTATGATTATCTATTCGTCCAAAATATGTTATGACACGTCTTACTTATATCAATCATTTGCACACTTTGTCTCTGCTGTGCACTCCTTGTTTTATAGTCTGAATGGAAATAAAATTGACTTCTGCTATGGTCCAGAGAAGTCTAGAAGTAGTCTACATGGAAGACTTGCAGCTGCAGAAGTCATTTGTCTGATTTGGAAACGAGGCCAAGTGACTCACCTGTGCGTGTAAACACAAGACATGGCTTGCAGAAAAATGGCAACTTGTGCCTTTTAAAAGGCAAAAGGGTGGTCATAGGAAATATTGTTTCGATTTAGGATTGTTATGTGCATGATACAAAGCTGATTAAAAAATAAAGATTATTCTTGGCCTTATTTTTGAAGGTATCCTCATTTTAGAGCATTTTTTGTTTTTTCACAAATAGCCTAAAACCTTTGCACAGTACTGTAAGTATGCAGTAGCCTATGTTTTGCTTAGACCCACAAAAATAAAAGTTGTTGTGTCTCTGTTCTAGTGCTTCTCTGGATGAAGGAAGTAGCGGAGCAACAGTGCTAAGTGGACAGGTGCAAACTCTTAATTTCTCACAATTTCTCTCACAAGGATGCAGGGAATGATTTTAACTTTAACTGTCTGCTTTTCCAGCCTTCCTCTTCCTGCTCCTTTGACGGTAGCCTGAAGACAGATCAGTCAGATTCAGAGCCAAAATGGCCTGAAGTCCCGCCTGTGCTCAATCAGAATGAAGACCGCAGGAGGAACAAGTACTTGAGAAAAGATTATCTAAAGGTATAAGCATGCACATTTTTATATCCGTAGCTGTCTAATTTGTGGATGGTAAAATGAACAGAACAAACCTCACTAATATTCTAATGAACTCACTGACTCTGGGATGGTTCGTTTGCAAGGCAGATATCTCAAAATCTTGGCTGATAAAACCTGCATTGCTAGATAACATCAGTATTAGAAGAAAACATGGGTGAACTATGTGCTGTGTAAATGTGTGCTGTTACTGCAGCACAGAAGGTCTCCAAAATGTGCATCTGGTAACCACAAAGATCCTCAAGAAAGTCCCAGGATTTCTCAAGAAAGTTTGATTTTAACACATTTATCATTATCAACTCACCCACATTATGTCTGTCAGTATGATATCTACAAGAATAACAGTCATCAAAAGTCTCCTCAAGTGAAAATCTGTCCATCTGCGGAACAATTGGAGTCAAATTATTAAAATTTGTTTTTCCTTTCCCGACAGTACAAGTGTCAGAGTGCCCGGAAAAACTCCAGTGGGAATGACGACTGCGAGGTGGGTGCGAGAAACATCCTGTGTGGACATTTTATCATCTCAACACATCTTTCAGGGCATCATGAAAATGCCCCTTTCTGATTTTTCTTTCCAGGAAGGCTTGCGCAACAGCGATTTCAGCACCACTTTGACAGTGTTTGGTCTAAAGCCAAGATCAGGTAACACACAAGCGCTTGTTGTGCTACTGCTATTGTCTTCTGTTTATGACAGTGTTCTTCATTTTCAGCGCGGTAATAAACAAAGACCTTAGGTTTATGGATAGACTCTCATGTGTTTTCAGTGTGTGCTGAAAATCTACAATGATGCAATCCCTTAAGACTTCTTGATAAATCCAGAGGCTTTACTTCCAGAGGAAGTAAAAGGAAAAAATTGGTAAATCCAAAACATATTTGAAAAATGTCCTTTCCATTTGATTTGCTATGTCAATGAGGAGAAAACAGTCTCTTTTATTTAGGATTCCCTCAAACCAGTGGGACTAGCTAAGTGAGTCTATATTTGGTGTACACTCATCTTGCATAAAAACTGGTTAAACACTGTTCCTTTTTAACTCAAGGCTCATGTGTGTAATGTGAAGACTTTCCTTCTCACATGAAGCCAAAATATTTTTAGGTGGAGTCCCAGCGCCCTTTCTTTGGAAGAGGGGAAGGCTTCTGGCGAACTGTTGATCTGTTTTATATCAGTGCATTAGCCGTTAAGGACAAGGCTGAACAGGAGGGATATTTATCTTTTCCTGATTGGTTTTATTTTAAGTGTATTAATAGATTTGTTTCAGTACACAACCAATCTTGTTTCCATTACTGATTTAGAGCTATAGTAGTGGAGGGGCTAATTGATCCTTTACTTCAGTAAAAGAACAAATACAACACTGTAGAAATACCGTATTTACTCCTTTAGAAGCAACAACCCTGCATTTAAAATGTTACCCCTTGTATGTAAGTATAATCAGGCAAAGGTATTTAAAATATCTAAAGTAAAAGTACTCAATGCAGAAAATTGCCCCAGTGAGTCTTATATAATAAGGTCTTTATTATGTATGTTATTATGTATCAATGTGTAAGCAGCATTTGACTTTTTTACTTGGTTGAGGTGCATGTGTTTTGTATAGGGCAGCAAGTAATGATAATTTTTATAATTTCATAATGAAATAATCTTCTTATTTTCTCGATCAGTGGATTGATTGATAGATTGATTGTTTGGTTTGTAAAATTTAGCAAAATAATGAAAAATGCTGATCACCAAGAACCAAAGGGACACCTTCAAATGATCCTATCTGACAAATAGTCAATTTAAGACAAAAAAAAGCTAGCTGCTTTTTCTTTTGAGAATGTTTGACTTTTTTCCCTTAATTTGATTAATCAATTATTAAAATAGTTTTGATTTTTGTTTTCCAGATCAACTAATCAATTAATTGACTAATCATTTCTTTTCTAATTCTAAATACTGCTGGTTAGTTTAATTTATGGCAAGGCATCATATGTTGTAACCTCTTCATGCTCTGTGTTTTGTACACAAAATCTAAATGGAAGACGTAACTACATAAATGGAATGCATAAAATGGAAATACAGTGTACTGCACTTGCCCACCACTGAAAAACATGCAAACTACCTCACTAGTTTAGAGAGTTTTAGGGAAAGAAATTTTCCCTTCAAATTTTCTTCTTTGTTGTTTTACTTTAAACCAAATAAGAAAAAGAGCTGCAAAAGGTTGGACGCTTGTATCTGATTTCTTAAGATGTTGGGTAAGACGAGGAATGATATTGTGAATAAGTTTCAATTACAATATAATGCAAGAAGCTTATTTTCCACAAATAAAGTAGCAGCACACTCAAATAAAGGATTTCCGTCAGCTGCTGTTCTAACAAAACCTTTCAAGAGAGGAAACATTTCATCAAGAGTTCTGAGGAAATGTACTCTGCCATGTTATGTAGCAGTAAAATGAATAAAGATTAGAGAATAATGTATATCGTGTGAATCTCCAGACTCTACACAGGTAAAGATGCAATGATAGTCCTCTCTGCACAATGTAGGTTTGTTTCGTAGTGGCGTTACCTTTTCCTTGATAACAGAGATAATATGTAGTTGTATTGCTTTGATATCAGATGTAGGGCTTTGGTGTTTGGCCACGCAATAATCAATTTTACTTGCTGTTGGAATCTTTTATCACACTGACCTGAAGCTGACCTCAAGTGGCCCAGGGTTGACCTGCTAGGATAGTCAGTAGTAGAAATTTCTGGGATTTTTGTTTTCTCTCTGTATTTCACTATGTTATCTGCCTGTTTTTTTATTATTTCAGCCTTCACCAGAGGAAGCCGTCAGGAGTACAGCTCAACAGACCCCAGTTTCACTATGAGGAGGAAGATGGAGCACTTGAGAGAGGAAATGGAACAGATAGGACTCTTGCGGCAGGTCAGAAGCCTCACAGCTTGTTTATGCATTTGCATTTTACACAAAACACTGAGTCATTCAGATGCCAAAGCCTGTCAGATCCTGCTTTTGTTCCTGTGTTTATACCTCTCAGTGAATAAGTGACCTAAATCAAATGTTTGGAGGATATGTTTCCTCAGTGAGTGTTCCCATTTAGTGACACAGATGTGTCACAACTCCACGTGCTTCCTAATAAGTTGAGTCCTACTGTTCTGTGTGTCTAACAAATAACTGACTTATCTCATATTTTAGGCCCCTGCAGTGCATTATATTGTGCTGTTCAAGTTCAACTTTTCTCATCTTTCACTTGGTGCCTGACCATGATGCCTCATCACCACTTTGCTCTTGCTAGTTTCTTCTCAAGTAGATAGCTGCCCATTGGAAACTACCAACCTTTCTAGTAGTAGTCTTGCTTAAGTACTCGTACGTTTAGTAGTAAGTCAAGTAGTTTTTAGTAGCAACAGAAGTATTTTTTTGGGTGTTGTAATAGTAGTTGATGGAATGCTAAATGTAAAACATGCTACTTATAATGTAGCACTGCTAGAAAGAAGCCTTGTTACTGCGGGCTGCCATATCTTCATACAGAGGATGAGGATATGCTTCAAAAATAGCTGCAATTTTCAGACTGCATTGACATGAATGACGAGATGATTACATAAAGTTAATTAAGTGTCAGTTTAATAGTATAATAGTATAATAGTGTTAGTTCAAGTGTAATTTTTCCTCAGTATATACCTGATGTGGACCTCAAATTTGTCAAGTATTTTGAGTATTGCAAGTATTGGGTGTTGCGCACCTTTCAGGCCACAGAGTGCAGGGCTCACTAACTTGATGTTGCTTCATTACCCTCCCAAATATTAAGCTGCAGGTAATTTTACTTAACTTATTGTGATAATATTGTGTGCTTTTGAGTGAATAAAGAAATACCTATCAACTCATATGTATGTTAAATCATGACAGCAGCAGATAAAAACAAACGACATAGAGAGGGTAAAAGTATTTAGATCAAAATGCAAAACAATTAACAACATCAATAGGCACTGAAACTTAAAAACTGCAGCAGTAAGTCTCTCCAAAGTCCACAGGCTAACAAGCATTCAGTGTCACTCACCAAAGCTCACTGTGTGTATCTTTAAGGTCGAACAAACAAGAAAGATCTCCTCCAGGCATGTTTGAAGAGATATATAAATACTCTGCTTTGAATAATAATTCATGTCTCATAACGTTTTTCCAAAACACTAAACGGCCTGTTCAGAAATTCTTTTTCATTTCAAAAGTTGAACTGCTGGATACAAGTCTCTTACATTATTGAAAGACCATTCTCAATGTATGTACAATGCAGGCTTCAGGTTTCCGTATCATACTTGTGCAAGTTACTTTACCAAACTCACGCCCTGATTTCACAAGTCAGCACAGAGAAACTTTCCACTTTCACCAGATGAAAACAGCCGTCTAGTATCAAAATACATTTTTGAGTGGAGAAGGACTTTAAGTACTTTAAATCCTGCGTTGTTTACATCTATGTTTACTAGCTAGCAGTTCTCTTTGTCAGTCCATTGCTGCATATCTTGGCACATTGCTGCCACCTGTCGATCGGTGGAATAGTGGGAAACCAATGGCAGGACTGTATATTGTTTCACCCACATGCACATGCATGTGTGTCCTTGTGCGCTCGCATGACACAAACAAAACCTCATTGAGGCCTCAATATGCATGCGTGCAAAAAGTGCTGCTCCCCTCTCGGCTTGACAAGCCCCGGCCTTTGTCATGGGTGACACGGTCATGCCCACGAATATGACAGAAACTATAGATACAACAGCTGGAAGTCAAGCTAGCTTCCAGAGACAATAGCCTTCTAGCCCCACAAGAGGGCAGTAAATTACATGATGGATGCTAACAGACAATATCTGATCCTTTATGGGGCAGAACACTATTGTGAGGTCAGATGTAAGGAGAGATATTGCTTCCACTTCATTATCGTTCAAGTTGGTGTCTATTTTTTTTTATATTTTTCGCTTTAACTGGGCAAGCACTGCTTGCCCTGTTGGCAGGCCACTGTGTGCATGAGGTACTTTTAAGCTGAATAACCAGACTGACCACATTAATATTGAAAGTGTCTAGCCCATATACCCTGTCATATGCTGTCATATACCCTGGTGCTAATGCCTGTAGAAAAACACAGGGTTCGATTGCCAGACGTCTGTACAGAGACAGAGGAGAATCAAGCCAGCATGTTGGAGACTGTCAGACACACCTAAACTATGTGAAAAGATCATGGTGTCCTTGGCTTTAAGTCAAATGTAGACAAAGGCGATAAGAAAAGGAGCTTGAAGATAAGATTGAAAAGTGGCCCACACGTTCTAGAAGAAAAAGGATGTAAACATTCGCTATTGTGCTGGTAGAGACCAAACATTGCTCTTGCACACTTTGTCAATGAGACAGGGGATCCACCCCACAAAGATCTCGGGGCCACGCTAATGAAGTTTCAACCTGTCATCTCTTGTCACAAAAATGATCTGTTGATCATGGTCTGTGAAATACAAAGATTTACAGATGTGTACAGATGGACAATGTGCCTGTCCCATCTGATTCAGAACCATTTTTACGCCAACTACAGATGTTCTCAATTTAACTTAATCATGCGTATAGTCAAAGGACTTTCCAAAACAACACTTTCAAAGTGTTTTACAAAAGGAAGATGGTGCTCAAAGGTTGAGAAGCAACAGCAACAAAAGGACTGCAAGGCGTGCACCAGCAATGCTTTCCATGCTGAGAACAATGGAGTGGACGTGCCCTTTACTGGCAAACCCACCACTGACTTCTTTCACAAGGAACTGGGGCACTATTTATGATGAGTCATTTCATTTCCATTTTTCTGAACATTAAGTTTGAAGTTCATTCTTGACCTCGGAAACAGTGGTTTACTGTTCCCATGGTCAAGAATGAAATTTCAACCTCAAAGATATCATTGTAATGGCCGGGAAGAAATTGCACTATTTTCTTGCCCCAGCAAAATATTCAGAATGGAAACTACAACTGACGTCAGACCGAAGCAGACGGGTTTCAGAAAAGAAACAGAATGCGTGGACCAGAGTCTCACATTTAGAAAACATCCTGAGACAATGGCGACATCAGAAAGAAAAACCTTTTTCATCACCTTTATGGAGAAAGCAAGAAAGCATTTGATAGTGTACACATGTAACATCAAATTGCAGACAATAAACTTCAATAAAATGCATTACCAAGATGAAGATCTGTGACTGCTGTGAATTAATAAAAAATAAAATAATAATTAATAAACAATAGTCATATCCTTTCTAATCCGATCTGAGGAATGCATCATGTCTGACGTCCTTTACTGTATATTTCAATGACTGGGTCATGATTACAAACACCATCAGATAAACCAAGATCAACACTGGACACTGGCAAGAACCTTTTGGTGCCAAAAGATGTCATGACACATTCATTAAAATTCAGTTATGCCTTCGGCTTCTTTGACGCATATGGGAATCCATCCATTAGCTGTACTGCGTGTCCTTGGGGGTTGCATTGTGTGACAGGGCAGGGTACATCCTGGACAGGTGGCCGGTCCGGGCTGACAAACAACCATTCACGCTCACATTCACACCTGTAGACAGTATCTGAGGTACCTTGGATATATCTTTTTCTCCAAAATTTGACTAGGGGTTTGCAGCCCTCTTTTGGAGCTGAACAGTCAAATGACGATTGTCCATATTTACAAATGTGCTTCATCAAGGTTATGGAAAAATGTGTCATAGCTTTGTTTGGGCTTATGCAAAATGTATTTAATTTTATTTCCATTTAGAGGTGCAAAACAGCAAGAATTTATCATCATTGCAGCAGAGGAAATTGAGACAAAAATACATGATCAGGCACAGACACAAGGACAGAGACTATAGCCAGCTTGAAGAGAGAGGTTGAAACGGTGAGGGAAGACAACTTTTGTCTTCAGCATTAGTTGAGGTCATATGAGGTCACTTTTCAGGAGCTCTTTGTTCAGCCCTCAACAACAGCAGCAGTGCAACAGCCTGTTCATATTCACACAATTTTACGCTTCTCTTTCCCTCAATGGTTTCCAGCTTGAGTGTGTGTTTCCCGTCACTGTTACAGCAGTTCCAGTCTAGTGCAATATGTTGAGTGTGAATCAGCCACATCATCAACCAATGGAATTTTTGTAGTGGTCATCAGAAACAGAATTAGTCACAGCACTGAGTGGGAAGGTGTGGACAGCTAGAGAAACATTAAGGCGGCCATATTTGAACAGAGGGGAACAGGGGTTAGCATCTTCCCCTATATACTGCAACTAATGTTCTGTACTTAGTTCACCTGATTACAACGGAGCTGCAATATATTCAGGTCAACTGAGCAAACTCTGGTGAGGAAGGACTATGGATTGTGGTTGAAAGCTCTGTAAAAAGTTTGCAAGTGGACCTTGACTTACGATTGTTGAGCGTAATATGATTGAACTGTCATTAAGTAGGCCTGTTTGAAATTTGTCATCTGTTTCAAAGTCTGTTCAAGAGTTTTAAAGTTTAAAGAATTACCAGAAATCTACCACATGAATTGTTTTTATCCTGACAGCATTGGGCCATTGAACTAATATTTCTTCTGGCAGGAAGAGAGCACGATCGCAGTTCCAAAAGTGTCTTCCATTCAACTAATATTTCACTTTTAGAAGCAGAAAGCACCTGCTTTGAACTTCATTTACTTTCCAGACACACACACACGACCAGTCTTTTAAAAGCCCCACATCAGATCTTATTTAGTAACACTTAGTACAATAACAATACAGATGACCTGCTACTGGGGTAATTTATATCTCCAGTCTTAGGGAACACCAGGTAGTAAATACCTGAACTGTGTGTCAAAAATACACATCCTCGGGTGTATGTGAAGCACGTCAACCTTTCTTTTTCCAAAAGCAAAACTCCCTGGAAAATCAAAAACAATATTAAACAGGACTATTATCAGTCACAGTTAATATGATAACGTAAACAGCTTTCCTCACTGTATTTACAGTAGTGACATTATTTTGTAAACATACCCAAATATGACTAACTCATACAGTGCAGTGCAGGCCTGGATAATCTCCTCAGCTCGGCAGCTTCTCACAACTGCATGCACTTTCTGCCTGAACAGGCACTTGCTTGTAGCCACTCTTACAAACACAGAGTCTCAGTGGCACATTCCTGGTAAGTTTAGGACAGAAAGGAGACATAACTCACTGTGAATAATTCAGTAAAAATAAATGAATCAAACACCACACTTTTTTAAGGACGGTAATGTCATGAGGTCATTGTTAATGTGTTTGCAGAACATCGAGTCCAGACTGAAGGTGTTGCTCCCAGACGATGTTGGAGCTGCTCTAATGGATGGAGTCGTCCTTTGCCATTTAGCCAATCACATTTGTCCTCGGTCTGTTGCCAGCATCCATGTGCCATCGCCCGCAGTGGTAAGCACATAAAAAAGGTTCATTTTATTTGAAATCAAAGTGCCATAGAGTTATGGATTCTTCAAAAGTACTATTTTGTAATAGTAAAAGGGCTTTTCTTCCTAATAGCTTTCTTACTGTATGTAGTTATTAGCTGTTACATGTATTGCCGTCTACATGACCTTACAGCGATATAATCTGTTTTTGTTTGTTCTGCTTTTAATGGCTAACATGATTGATATTCTGGCTTCCAGCCAAAGCTTAGCATGGCTAAATGCCGTAGGAATGTGGAGAACTTCTTGGATGCCTGTAAGAAGCTGGGTGTTCCACAGGTAATATCAAATACCTTTCATTCTCAGTCATGCAATACTTACATACAATACTTACAATATGTCAAAACAAGCTAACATTTTATTTGTATTGCTTTACTAGGATTAGTGACTTCAGCTATGGAAAATAAAATACAAACCTCATTTAGCCGAGCTTCCCACAGATGGAAAATTTCGTCTACTAAGCAGTGATTTTGTTTCACAATTAGGGATATAGTTGCATATAAGGTTGATAAGGAAGATCATTAAATTTTTTTTTTATTCCGTAGTTTGGATGTAATTTTCCCAGGTATTGAGGAAGCTGTTCCTGATATTTCTGCACGCACCTAATAATACACTACTATGATCCTGGTGCACAAAGAGACAAATCAAAACCGCTCCGCCTAAACTATCTATCAAACATTATTGTGGTGAGAAGAATATGTCTTTTTTTCTTTTGTTTTGAGTAAACTGATCCTTTAATAAGGGATATGTAAAATTTGTTTTATAGAGAATGAAGCAGTGTGTTATTACTAGAGTTCAGAAAGTCACCACAAAGATTCTTGAATAAGTCCCAAGTTTCCGGAAGAACTATTAATCATATAAAGTGCACACAATGTTTTAATTAAATACAACATGGTGAGAGAATCTTTGATGATAAAGATCACAGACAGAAATCTGAGAGATTAATATCTAAAAACCTGCACGGTTGGTTGATATCTGTTAGAAATGAGTGAGAAAGTATGTTTTTCTTTCTAATGTGGGTGAACCAACTCCTTAAGTAGTGACAGAGAGGAAAAGCTGTGTAAACTGCACCTGTCTTTTCTGCTGTTACTCAGGACAAGCTGTGTCTGCCCCATCACATCCTGGAAGAGCGCGGTCTGGTGAAGGTGGGTGTGACTGTCCAGGCTCTGCTGGACCTGCCCGCGTTGAAACCAACACAACTGTCAGCAGTTTGACGCAAGCCTGAATGTTGCGTCCAACCTGCAGTCATCCAGTCAACCCCTGTCCCCAGCCCAAACCCACACCATATTGCCAGGGACCAGAGACCCCCTCGGGGTGAGGACCCAGTGGGCGGTGGGTTTTTGGGAGTCTGCTTCTGCCTGACTGAAACAGGAGACAGGAGGCTGAAATACCTCTGTCCTCCCATATGATGTCAGCTGCCACTCACCTCCTGTCCATCACATTTTCATTTGTATCCTGTTCGTGTGTGGACTAATGTGTGTGGACTTGAAATGTGACTGTGTGTTTTCCTGAGCTGCACAGTTTGGACTTGCCGGGCAGAGACAGACAAGACAAAGGGTCATTAGAAAGACCTGCACATCCCTCTCAACATGCTCAGTGATTATTGAGCCTGCAAGTGCCAGTGTTGACAACATTTCCATGCAGGTGTTGAACACATAGGCGGTGAGGAGATGACAGACATGTAACTCACTCTTTCACTAAAGAGACATAAGCTGCACGCTGGCCTCCTAACCCCAAACCTCAAGTGGTTCTTACACTCTTGAGTTTCTCTTCTTTTTTGTGCAACTGATTTTTATCATAAAAATTCATTTTTGAATTTATTAGCGTTCTGTTTTTTACACGTTTACATCAGGTCCCTACTGTACCTTTTTTTCAGCAGCCAAGCCTGATTCATAAGTAGTGTTGATTTGCTGGGCAATATTGCATTTGAGGAATCATCTCTCCTCTGCTCTTGGAGGCTTTCCTCTGAGAAGGAGCTAATTATAGATGTGGCAACTCAGTGGGAGTCACGCTACAGTAGGTGTGTTTTTGACATCTTTAAACTACTGTACAAATTATGCGCAACCCTGTTTTTCTCAATACACACCTGCATGCACCAGGAGAAGGTGACATTTGACCACTGTGAGAACATGTTTGGCTGTTGCCAAAAGCATGATGGTCCAGTTTTGTAGCGTTTTTCCAGTTTACATGCAAGGTTTCTGTTTTTGAAAAATAGTATTCTAACTTTTCTAAAAGTTTTATACTTTCTTCCCAGTCATCACTCGTCATTCAGTTCAGAACATGGGTTTGCCACGTTATACCCCAAGCAGCTAGGATTTTATTACTTTGCATACCCTCAGATGAAACATGTTATACTGTATTTGTTTGTGAGTGGAGGGGTCTGAGTGATGAGCCTCTAGTAAGAGGTCATCACTCCTGCAAACTACCGGCCCACCCTGCTGTTTGTGGTTTCTGATACAGTTCATTATTTCAGGGAAATGAAATTATTTATGTATTTATTCACTTGTTTTATATTTATATGTTGTTGCTTTGTGTGTCTTAACCCTGACTAACTGTTCAGGTGTGGCTGAGCAGTTAGTCATATTTTTTCTATATCTAGGCTGTCAAATTGATGAACTCCAGTGTCTGTGAGAAGCACTCAGTGTGGAAGCTTAAAACAAATATTTTGACACCATTTGTCAATATAGCTGACATCAGTGTTGACAGCATAAGAGAGGCTTAATTCTGTTACAAACATTGAGCAAGAGTTGAACATATTCACATGATCTTTATGAACTTCATGGATTTGTAAACAGAAAATTCAAGTTTTATGACAGTATAAGAGAATCTGCTAATTTAATCACCCTATTTATTTAGCCTTTTGTATTTTGAAATCAATTTGTCATCTGTTGCTTATTTATTAATTCATTTTTCTACAGGGCAAAATTTCTTGACAGGTGGTTGGCATGTGAGTCATGATCAGATCAAACACACCATTTGATGTTTTGTGTGTGTGTGTATGTGTGTGTGTGTGTGTGTGTGTGTGTGTGTGTGTGTGTGTCTGTGTCTGTGTGTGTAAAGTTACTGAGAAATCATTATTCATGCTCCATTACTCCATTTCTCACATAGCCACAGAGCATACTGAATTAGAAAATGCACCTTTAAAGAGAAATTAATGACCTGTCTTGGCCTCTATCAGAGATATGTTGTTGGCACATTGACATAACATCAATTAAATATCAATCAAACGACCTCTGACTATGGCACAGGCTTTGCGAGTTCAACTAGGCTCACAAAGCAGAGTTTTGTGTCATACATATTCAACAGCCTTGTAACATCTAAAAACATGACATATACTGTGCCTTAAAGGAGGGGTATCTTTAATTATTTCAGGTTTATAAGTTTATTAAATGCATTTTTTTTTTCTTTTTAACCCATGCATTATGGTTTTAACAATTCTCTGTACTTCTGTTTTCACCTACAAGTGAACAGGATGCTTTAGACTTTATTTAACATAAGCGGCGTCTCTGCTGTAACTTGTACGTCCCATGGATGTCCTGATATGAATACTGTTCATGAGAACCTCGCCATTGTATTCCAAAGAACAGGTACGACTGAGATATAAAAAGAAAAAAAAAATCATACAGGCCTTGCAGTTTATCAGGCCTCCAGTGAAAAAATTATGCACAAATCATCACAATCACAAGTCACACCTGTCTCTTCTTCAGAAAATCACAATGAATGACATCAGTGTTGGGCTACGTGCACTCACTCAAAAACAGTCTGCATCTGGAAATAGCCTTGTCCATTACACAGTTTTCTGCTGCTGCACACACGCCATCTTTTATGGCCCTGGCTACCATATATTTATCAATTGAGCAGCTTTTAATGGCTAGACACATTTCTAACAATACTAAAAGTGCATCTTGTGTAACAGTGGATTGGATCTTGTACTGAACAGATTTATTTGTCATTTATCGTCGTTCATCTATTACGAAACACAAGCAGATCATTTGAAAAATAAACTCAAAATTGTAGCAGACACAGCTATGTTAGAATCACTGAAGCTGGCTGGCTCAGCTTAACAACAAGAGTCACACAGGGAAGGCATTATCACTGATGGCACCATTGTGACTTCTCACTATCTTCATCAGTCTAAAATTACAAGTTCAGAGACAACGAAAAACTTGAAATGATGCATGACCTACCTCAGGTTTGCTGTGTCAAATTTTGGGTGTTTTAGATTTAGATGCTTTTTGTGATGAAAATTTAAAAAATGCTCCGGATGCCTAAAAATGATGTTCACTTACTGCCGTAACTTGCTGTAGGTATGCAATATTGTCTCATATGTCGCTGCATGTATTCAGTTGTCTTGGGTTTTCCAGATAACACAGGGTTGATTTATGTGAGATGAGTGAAAAGCTTGAAAGAAACAAATTCAACTTTGCAGAGGTTGAAATTGAATACATTTTCATGATAGCTTCATAGTGAGTGAGAGGAGGCACGAAAGAAAGAAAGACCTACCAGAAGGAGAACAGTGTGGCAAAATGATCGTACTGTTGTGGTGAACCATGTCAGATTAAGGTGAATAATATAATGTGTCATAGGAGAGGAGCACAAACAAATTAAAATGATCTCTCCTGAGGAAAGAGGTTGAATCATGTGAACCAAGTATGACCTTCTCTTAACATCAGAACCATTGTGAACCTTGGTTTAGCTTTTCTCAGCTTCATAAAACATAAAACGGTAGTAACATGAAACCCTTTCCCCACAGGAAAACCCTGAAAACTCTTTGTCTTTGTAACAGTTGCAATTACCAACATTCCATACACCTATAGACATGGTAGACATGACTCACATCTTGTGTAATGTTTTTTTTTTTTTTTTTTTTAAATAATTTCTTATTTATTTTTTTATATCCAAGGTGATGCGCAATCTATGCTGGGGCATGTTTTTTGTCTCCCTTTGTGTATTTATTCTGGTGAAAGTTGGCTTTCTTTCCTTTTTGATTCAGCTTTTCATCTGTCTGATTTCCATCAAAGTTAATTTCCTCATTAACTCACACACATGCTGGTACATGCAGGCTGGAATTCCAATCAATAAGGAGATGTTGTTAGGCACCCTTAGAAATAAGTTCAATGCATTGACGGTAAGTGTGGGGCTCTCGCCTCCTTCCTCTGATGTCTATGCGAGGCGGCACCTCCCAAGTTTGTGTGTGACTCCTGTTTTCTGTTTGTATACCAATGCTTGTGTCACCACACTGATGCCTTATTCTTGTTTTACCAGCTAACAATGCTGTACGTTACACTACCCCTTTCATTCATCACTTTTTGTGTAAATAATCCCAGTACCAAAACAGCTTCAGCGGAAGCATTACCATGGCAACTATCAACATTTATGGTCAGATGTCTGCTGATACATCTCCTAATCGATGACACACACACACAAGCACGCAAGCACGCATAGACAGACTGCCATTAACTCTGTTCCCAAGGGGACAAACACACACACACACACACACACACAGACACACACAGACACACACACACACACACTGCTCCGGCAAAACTTGTCTTAAGAGTATTCAGATAGTTTGTGTACTGATTTCCAACCAGAATATTAAATATCACATACTGTGTGATTGCATGTTTAGCTGTGGTTGCTATGCCTTTGTTTGAAGGATCGATACACACTGTTAAATCATCTTAAAACAGCAGTCACATTAATACCTGTGCATAGTACATATGCTGACACACTTTAGAGTGGCTGTAATCATTTGTCCTGTTTAAACTGGCCATAAAGAAATCCTCACACCAATGGTTTCTGAAGTTCAGCCAAAGCTAAAATAAGGCTGCATCATTTGGGTATCTTCAAAATGTAATCGTTTTATTGTGACATTCCTCTTTTAGTACAACACAGTTATTGCTGAGTTGTGGCTGTGAAAAAAAGACTGTAACTACTCTGACTCCTTAACTTTAGCTGAACTTTAAGAAGTTTTTCTTTTTTTTTTTTCTCTCTGAGTTTCTGTCCCCCATCACTTACCTATAGAAAGGGTTTTCTTCATGGCCAGTATGGACTGAATGAAAGTTTGTAGCAACAGAAAATTCAGGCATGTGAGTGTTGTTTCAAGACTGACTTGAAAAACTGTGAACCTATCCTTAAAAAAGGTTGGCTCTGCTTCAAGGAGGTGGAAATCAAACAGTATGTAGAACTTCTGTTAATCAAAAGTTGTAGCTGATTGTCATTTTTATACATTAATGTGTGTGTCGTCATCTGTGAACATAGTGTTTTACCTCAAGAACAGTTCTATCCAGTTCTTGGTTCAGTTCTTTTGTACAGATTCGACAGATAGGTTTGACGGAGGGTGTTTTATGAGGCCTGGGAGCAAGTTTTTGTGTTTTTGAGGAAAAGCAATGTGTAGAATGTTTTTCGTTATGCTGTTACGTGACACTCCCTTTACAGCACACCTGCAACTTAATGAACATTCAGCAATACCTGCAACATGGAGTCAAACTGGCACATCATTTTCTACAGATAGTGGTGCTGATCTATGTTTTGCAATGTGTATGTGATAAATCCATTGCACTACAACTACACCTGTACCTGTAATTGGTTCATGTGCCACAACAGATATCAGGAATTTTGCTTGTTATGATTTAACACTTCAACACGTCATCTCATCCAAAGAAAACAGTGAAACAGTGAGACATGTCTAAATACTACACTGCCGAGAACATTTAAAACTCATGTATACAAGCTTTTTGTATTTTAAAACAAGTCAAATGCATGCAAGGATACTGAATGAACCTGTATATATCATCTGTATAAATTCCAGGGTTTTCTTAAAAAGCAAATGTGGTCACTATAAAATAAAGTCAAATTCTTTGCAGCTTAGGCTGTCTTGTCTTTCTTAAATGCACCTCAGGCTTTAACCAGTTGACTCCCTTGCTTGCAGCATAAAGCAATATCTTTTAATAATAGAGTGGTTTATTGTTGGAATGCAACAGCTCATAAAATGGACAACTGATAACTGACAACTAATCAGGAACTGGCTTCTTTGGAAGATTCAGATCAATGTATGAGACAAAGACTGTAGGAAAAAACAAAGTGTAGTTACTCATATGGTGAGACACAATGAATGGGACTCATCATTAAGTCAGTCTTAGGTCAGTCAAAACTTGTTTTTGCAAAATCACTTTGTCACACGACACCTGCAATGTTTGTGTTCTGTTCCAGTTTCCCAGTCAGATATGTTTCATGTGTCCCAGTTAACAGCCCTTTTCTGTTTCTGCTTCTCTGAATCTGCAGCCTGAGCCTTCCTTCGTTTCATGTCAAGCTGTACTATGGCCAGTCTCCCCCCATAAAGTCATAAAGTATGGCAGGGACAATGTGATTGGCTGGTTGAGATTGGTTGCCGAACACCTGAGAGGGCAGCTGTTTACGAGGAGTGCGGTGAGAGAGGGAGAAAATGAGAGAATTGTGAATGGAAGCGGAATAGAGATTGTCTTCCTGATTGAATTTACACCAAGCTTCATAAATGCTTTTCCCATAATTTAAGAATGACTAATTCCCAGTGATATATCACTCTATTCCAAGGATAATGTAATTTCTCACCAATACCCAATCAATCTTAAAGTGGTTTATACTGTCATTTATGTTATTCTTCAACATTTTTTTTCATAATGTTTCTCATAGTTGAACACTTCCTCACTGTCTTATGGTAAGTTGTTGTGAGGTTGATGGCTGCTCTGTAATCTTGATTGTGGATGAGAATTACATGTCTGCATGCCTCTGTAGTTTCATCCAGCTGCCAAGCTGCTATTTCTTCATGGAAAGCACCTGGAAAAAACTGCTGAGGCTGAAGAGTTAATCCAGTAAATAACCATAATGATGGCATGTCAAGGCCAGACTTGTATTTAGGTTCAATGGCTGTAAGGTGGCCTTGATGAGGTTTGGGGAAAAAACTATTCTCTTCAGTGCTTGGATGTACAAGCACACACCTGCATGTTTCTTTTCCTGGGAAAAGGAGATAGATTTTGGCAAGCTTCCCTGTTAGCTCTCTGCATGTATTCCACCCTTGTCTGTTTTAATCTCTCCTTTGTCTATTTCTCTTCTTTTCTTCTCACAGTGAGCCTCTGTTTTTCAGCCTGCCTTTTCTGAACCTATGCTCAAGTTGGTCTGCCTCAGTTCTGCCCAAGTCAATTCCTCTTCATTCTCAGCCTCAGTGTCATGGTTCCTCCTTCCTCGTCCTGCATCCAACCTCCGAGCCTCATCATCCTGATCTTTTTGGTCTGTATGTTTTTCCGACACGCTACCTGTTTCCAGCGTCTGGGTTTCCTCCTTTCCTGACTCTCCTGCCTCTGGGTTGTCCTCCCAAGCTGTTCCATGAGTCTCTCCCCCTCCCGAGCTACCATCCCCAGCGGTCCCAACTGTGTCTGCAGCTCAAGCTGTTTCTTCTGACTCCTTTGGTTCCTCCAGTCTGTTCAACCTCCTGGCATAATTTCTTGAGCAGTCTTGTCTGCTTTTACTGTGCCCAACACTTGCTTGACTAGTTCTATGTTTCTGAGTGTCGTGTGCCTTACTATAAATAATACAACAATACAATCACTTGCATGATATCACCCGGCCTTGCTTATATTGGCAACAAGGAAGAAATTGTATCATGGGACTGAGTTTATAGCATGTTTTACTGAGATGAACTGGAGATAAAATGATATAAAATATGGCAGGCAATCCCCTCATTCTATCTCTGGGAAGCAAAGCTAACCAAGATGCAATGGGATGTATGTCTGTAATAATACATAAAATTAGGTAGTAAAAGTCCCCTGGCTGATATGTACTTCTTTATTCTATGAGATTTATAATTCCATACAAAGGGAAGAATTATTGAATCTAGCTTTGAAGAAAAATGGATTTAGCGAGGAACATTGGTATATATATTTTGAAGGAGAAAAAGCAATTGTGGTAGAAAAATCTCCTTCATTGTAATTGTATTACCAGATAGGCTTTTCCAATGTGACTTTAAAAGGGAATTTGGTGTTACCCCATTTGATCCTATATCCCCAAAAGGTGCCAAATAAATCATTTACAGTTAAAATTAAGGGAATATTTATCTGAGTATATACTGTAACGCTGTCGAGACAATCCATGTCTGTTTGTACTTGGTTTTAGCTATTATAAATAACTTACTGATTCTGCTTATGCTCTGCTTATGCTCAACCAAATCACCACAGTATACTATAAATATCACCATAGACATCATTTGTATGACGTACCATTTTTTACTCTGTGTTGAGGAAATAGCATTTTCTCATTTTCAAACTGCATGCTCAATTTGCCCCATCTTCACTCCAAACCACAATCTAAACAGACAACATTTTGATCAGTAAATACACAAGTAAATCAACTTTGGAGTCAGCCTGCAGACTCATTGTTGTACTTGTTATTTGGCTTTTGTTGCTTTCTGAGAAAAAGTTTCAAACATGAATTGTTTCTCAGGATTCTGTCATGTAAACATCAGCTTGTTAGAAATACCAAATCGTACAAATGAAAGTTAATATTCAATATATATATAATATTCATTGATCATGCAGGAAAACCCATTGTAGTCTTTGGTGTAACGGATGTTTTATGTTTCAATTTAGTGTATGAAGAGCATAATGTGATTCCTCAAATAGTTTTGAAAATCAATAAAAGTTAATATTCTGATGTAGAAAGGGAGGTTTTCAACATTGTTATAACTGGAATTATTGTGGAATTACTCAAGTAAAGTACCTCAAAAATGTACTTAAGTGCAGTAAGTGGGATGCAGCATACAGGACAGCATGTACTCTTTAACAGTAACCCCAAAAGCCATTGTTTGACATCATTGTCAGGCAGGGTAAAAGCCCAAGTTCAAGTTGAAGAACTGGTTTATCATCACAGCCAATCCAAGTTCTGTATGCACCCAAACAATTAAGAGTTTATGGGTGGGACGCTGGTAAGGGATCATGTCCTTATTTCTGCTAGTGACTGTTCGTCAGGGGACGCTGGTGATGAAATTAAGTAATGATCATTTTAAATTTAAAGGCAATATTTCCTTCCGATTAAGAAAAAAATCTGTGACACGTGAGATCTGCGTGGTTGTACGTGTCAGTGTGTGACTCATACAGACGTACCACAGAGATATCACTGTGACCAGGCGTGACGAGCATTTCGGTGGAATGTTTAACCATCCACAAAACTGGTGAATGCACAAGAGCCAACATGACACAAGTCACTTATCACTAGTAGCAGCATAATGTCTTTTCACCACCCACCCCACCTACCCCCCGCCCCTACCCTTCCCATTCTCCTTCCTCTGCAACCTAATCCACATTGATACTCACCGATTCCTCACAGTTTCCTGATTACTTAGAACCAAAACATTATACGGGAGGGGGGATGGACACCACACAAGGTTAACAATTCCACTTGAACAGCATACAAATGGGTCAGTCCACCCACGATGTGTCAGTCTCCTAAACTTCGCTTGAACCTGCTACAGTAGGAAAGCAGCCCTCCTCTCTTCAGGTAAGTAGACTGCATTCGTCTGACAGCTTTATTTCGCTCAGCATTATTTGATCTAATTGCATACCACGGGGAAAAGTCACCCAGACAGTATTTTGGACAAGATATTTTTTTGTGATCTTTTTTCATTTTGTTTCCATGCCTTTTTATTTTATTTTATTTCATTTTTAATCAACCTGTAAATCCAATGGCATTACAGTTTAATAGCATAATTTAAAATGAGCTCGCTCTGGCAGTATAGCCTACATCTTGACTCTATTTTGCCATTTTTACATCTTCTTCACTCTATTTGTTTTTTCAATCTCGGTTAGAAACGTGTAACCTGTAGACTATACTGATGGGAAGTAAATCCGCGGTGATTCACCCAGCTACACTGATGCTGCTCTTTATAACCTGGAGGGAAAGCATACATTGCAGTGGACTTACAGGTTGGTCCAGATTTGTTTGCTACAATTATTCACTCATTCGTTTGTCTTTCTTATTTGTTTGTTCTTGAATTACCTAAACCCCCCCCCGAAAAACCGAAATCATGCTGTGGTGCTCTGAGGAAACCAAATAAAACCAAATGAATTTAATTTAATGGGGTCGCAATGAGTAAGTTGTTCCACAGAATCAAGGGATGGTTGCCAGTTCAGGTGCGACTGGAGAAAAGAAAAGAAATCCATTTGCGCCAAAAACAACTTGCTGTAAGAACAAAAACGCCTTTTATTAAAAGTTACTCATGCAATCCAATTATAATTGTAATTACCATGCAACATCGGCATGCTCATAAAGTAGATTTTGATTGATTGAACTCTTTGGTTGGCCCTGGATCTAATTATGGTGTTTGGGTGTGACTGGGCATTCACATTCAACCTCTATCATGAAACACTTGCAGTGGAACCCCCCGAGGACCTTATGATATTAGACCCTGGTCATCTTGGACATCTTGAGATTACATGGAGCCCCCCAGCCAGCTTGATCAACATGACAGAGTGCCCAAAACTGTACCAGCTGGAATACTTCGACACATACAAGAACAGTTGGACTGTAAGTACTTCCCATTCCTACATGGTATGAGATCCAGGCATAAAAATACAGATTTAACAGCTGTAAAAGTTTGTATTGTGAATACTTATCTAATATATTCATGATATTCATGTAGCTACAGCAGTATATGGCAGGCTCCTCAAAGGATCATTAAATGGGCTGCTCATTATTGTTGCCGCTCCCACTTCAGACAACCTGGTTCATTCTGGTTAAAAAAGTCTTTCATCACTGTGGATATTTTTTTTTAATCATTGTTGGGTTTTTTTTGTTGGGAAAATGCCAGAAGTCTGAGTCGTATATCAATGGATGACCATGATATGCTTAACCAAAAATTAACAAACCATAAAATGCTAAGCAGGGCTGGGACAACAATACAGATGTAGTAATGTTGATGCAAGGGATGTTGATATCTGATGCAAGAAGCAAGGAGTCAGGTTACAGGGATGATGATAACTATCATGCTCTGAGAAATTCAAGACCCAAAAGTACAATGATGTTGTCAGTGATGACAGGGAAACAGTTTTCACTGGAATATCCAAAACCATGCAAACAAAGCAGGCAGGAAATGCTACAAAGGAGTGGCAGCCAGCAGCTTTGTCAAGCAGGCAGGTGAACAGTTAGGAAGAGGAATTAGGCAATTACAGAAACTGAGGTGTGGAGAGCTTGGCAATGAGCCATGCTAATGATCTTGTCTGTCACAATGAGTGATGCTGTGATAATGTCTGTGACTACAGTAACATAATGTCGTCTATTTTGACTGTTTTGCGTCGCATACAGTTCAACCAATTTTAACTGTAGATGTTTCAAATAAACTATCAAAGCTTGGCTGTAACTTTCTGAAAACTCCATTCGGTATTGTCACACATTTAAAAGGTGAATTTATTGTTGGCAGGATATGAACAGTTCCTCGTCATACTTGAATGCTTCGGGATATTGTTTTCTCAGGTTTCAGGTTACTTGGTGGGGCGGCAAATTTTCTCAAAAACAGGACTTACTAACAATAATAAAACAGAAGCCCACAGGGAAGCACAGTGTCAGATTATATTTCATCGAAAGTCCAGTTTCCATTGGCATCTCTGTAAATACACCCAGTACACATAATAAACGCAATCTGAATAACAGATTTGTGTTTCTGGATTGACAGGCCATCAGGACACCTAGCAGGTCATACAGTGCCCAGTTTGATCTGATGAAAGACATTAGAGTGAGAGTGTACACTTTGCTGAGTGGACCATGCACCAACGGCACTATGATCAAGAGTACGAGCTACACTGAACTGGTCCAGAAACCCCCCACCACAGGTCAGTCATTGAGGTTGTACAAATGTGTGGTTGAAAATAAATATAGGGAGATGTTTATATGATCCTGATTGTTTTGGAAAGTGTATGCAGTTGACATTGATTGTTCTACCTCTAGGTGTTGTTGGTACCACAGTCAAGGATTTCGTCTGTGTCTTCCATAACATGGAGAACATGGAGTGCAACTGGGAAAGCAACCAAAAGATGCCAGCCAACTCACAGCAAAGTCTATATTTCTGGTATTTCATTTTTTTTTTTTTTTAAGCCACACCAGTAATGATCCGTAGCTACTTTGATCCAAAGCAAAAAATCTCCACTACTATTGGATGGATTCCCATGAAATTTTGTACAGACAGTCATCCTAGTGGCATTGGTGATCCCCTGGAATTTTCCTCTGGAGCCAACAGTAATTTGACATATTTAGGTTCGCAGTGAAATGGCTCTATCTATAACTACAGTATAACTACTGTGATGCCTTGAAATTTCATAAAGACATTCATGTTTCCTATAGGATGAATTTTAATCAATTCGGTGATCTTCATCTAGAGCCACCAGCAGATCAAAATTTCACCTACTCCATTACCTTGGTTTATTGGTCATACACCACAAATACCTGCTAAACTAACATCATTCCCCTTGTGTTTATCACGGATTAGTAAATGTTTAGCATACTAACATGCTAAACTCAGATGGTGATCATGCTATAAGCTACCTGCTAAACATCAGCATTTTAACTTTGTCATTGTGAGCATGTTAGATTGACAGCCAGTTCCAAATCAACCACTTTTAACCATTTTATATTCACCTAACCACGACTGTTAGGAACCAAATACAAACTGGAGCTCAACTTTCATCTTACAGTTTGTTTGTTTTTTTTTCGTTTACATACCCTCCAAGCTTGTAGTATCATTTACATCATACGTCATTGTTGCTTGCAACACTCAAAAAAACATGTCTGGATGAATAGATAATAGCATTGTAAGCAGTGTGTCGTCTGGTCTGTCTCTTCCCCAGGCACAAAGAACTGGAACAAGCAGAGGAGTGCCCGAAATATATGATTTCACACAGTGTCAGGACCGGTTGCAACTTCACAGGGAAACCTCTCCCTGATTTCACTGACATCAACATCTGCATAAATGGCTCCTCACCTCACGGACCCCTAAAACCAACATTCATCTCCCTGCAAATCCAAAACCATGGTACATACATGTTTGCCTTCACTGACTGCTCAGTGAGGGTATAGTAATTTTTGTCCTCATGTTTTGACCTTGTATTTGTAGTCTTTACTTGCTCCACTGCAGATCTGCTGTTGGTTTTCCTCTCGGATTCCTGTCACAGTTTGTAATCTTTAAACATCTACCTTGTTTTAATATTCATGCAGTGAAGCCTGAAACCACAGAGAAACTACATTTGCAAACACATCCAGATGGGCAGTTGGAATTACAGTGGGAGCGACCTGTTGGGAAGGTTCCTGGGCACTGTCTAGAATGGGAGGTGGAACGCAGTCAAGAGGGACCTGATGGAAAGATTGCATTGGTATGGTTTACCTAATGAGTCCTTTTTTCCCCCTGATAAAACACTCTTAAAGGGAGAGTTCAGGTTTTTTGATGTGGGGCTGTGTGACTTGGTGGATGCATAGTTGGTACAATACCTGCATTAGATCCTGAGCAGCGCACTCCCAGTTAGGAGATTCCACCTGGGGCATTGGCAGACTAGCAGAGCATGGGGCCAGCAGAAAAAACGTGTTTTAGACACTTTTAAGAACACCCACCAAAACAACCTGTTTAAATGTATGCTTCATGTAGAACATTTAAGCACTTTCCTTTGGAACTACATTTTTCAACTGCTGAAGTACCGTATTCCTACTCACAATCACACCTAGGGAGCGCACTGTATCATTCCGCTACAGTGCGCTCTGCAGGTGCACAGCAACACAAAGCTCTGCTAGTCTGCTGGCGCTCACGGTGGGATCTCATAACTGGGAACGGGCTGCTCAGGATTTGATTGAAGTAATGTACTGACTATGCATGACAACCTCACACCACCCCACGTCAAAAAACCCGAACTATCCCTTTGAGTCACTCACTGCCACCAACCAGAGCTTTCCTTTCAGAAATCCTATTAATGTGTGTAGCTTTCCACCTCTGTCTTGAATGGGCTTAAACAGATGCAGGAGTTATTGCAGAGCCAGAGCTGCTGTGAGAGTTGTATAAGCATACAGGGAGGAGTAGAATAACAAGCTACACAACTTTAAAACTTCAAACTGCAACAGCATCTTCTTTTAACTTGAGCATTGTGTCTTCTTATTTCCAAGAACACTCACTACACAGAATGTCTGTGTAGATTCTAGTTCAAGTCCTGCTTCCAGCCATTTACTTTATTCCCTCTGCGATTATCTGTCATCTGTCTCCAATTATCCATCCCTCTGCAAGTATTTGACTAATTTTGTTAACACCAAATTCAGATTCTTGTTAGTTTTGATAACAGCCAATTATAGGATTCAGCCTACAGCTTAGTTTTTGTCTTTCTGTCAGAGTATGTAATTCCAAGTCACCTGAGGCACAAAATGATCACACCCCCAAGCTATAAAAGACATTGGTGGTTATGATTTGTCACGCAAAGACTTCAACACACACATAACGGAACAGCATTAGTTTGTGACATTTGTATAAAGTTCTGAGACATATGAGTAGAAGTATATAAATATTCTTGGTAGATAAATGATCATAATAACAACCTCATTTGTGAACTCCACACACTTAATGCATTTAATAGACATGGAGGAACATTATAATTAGGTTTGTGGTTCCTGGAAATCCAATAGCAATGTAGCACTAATTTGTCCTCCTCTGACTCTTGAGAAACTTTTCTGGATCTTTAGCTGCCAGATGTTTTTGTGACAGCTACTATGAGAAAATGTTAATACGTAATTTAAGGAAGTTTTGGCACTGAGCGTTAACTCTCTGACTCTAACTTGTGTTATACTCAAATCATTTCTCTACTTTTTTTAATTATTGACAGCAGAAGATTTTAACCGAGCAGACAAGCCTGACTCTGCCCCTCCTCAACAACTATGAGAGAAACTGCCTCAGGGTTCGGTCCAAATTGCACAAGTACTGTGTAGACAAAAGCTTTTGGAGTGAATGGAGTCGTACAACCTGCCATCCAGGTAATGATGTTTAAATTTACTACATCACTGCATTAAATACATCAGTATTCATTATCTGTCACTAATCAATGTTAATTCTGTGAGTAACTTGATGAATTTAAACCTAGCTGTTGTCAGTTTGTGTGCTGTGTGTGCTTTGTCTGCTGTCTGCACTACACACTACTGTACAACCATGTGTGAACTGAGTCTTTATTCCTTCTTCCAACTGCACTGTCATCCACATCACATCCATAATTTAGGCTTATAAACTTTATATTTTTGAACCATGACCTTCAGTGCACAGAGCCCCCCAGGGATCTTGTGGTAGAAAAATGAATATTTAGGGGAGAATCCTAGAATGTCATAAATGTAACACCAGCGTTTTTTGCATTTAAACCTGATTTTACAATCACACTTTAGTATAACTGTCTGAAATGCCTAAAAACACACCGATAAAGATATATTGAGAGATAGGAAACCTGGAAAAATTCAAATCAATCATATCAAAGAAATGCTACTTCAGTGCTGATGACTCTAAATGTATAGTATAGTATACACTTTACGTCACTTATCATAATTGGGGAACCCGACTAAGAAGATTATATATTTAAACAATACTTTGCTATAGACACCATTACAGTTCAGTTGTACTTGTTTTTGCAACGGTTTTCCAGTCCGCCTGCATGGTTTACTGATCCGTGTACTATCCATGTGCAAGGTTTATTAATCCGTTTCCACAGATTCTCACAGAAATATGTATTTTCTACAACATGATCCTTGGAGGGTTCCTCGGATCAAGAAGCTCCTAAAATATATAATATAGTTATCGGATCAAACCAATCTAATTTAATACCCAATATTAAAAGACTTGGATGGGCCAAAAAAACTTGATCAGGACATCTCTAATCATGAGTTTAAATTCATTGTATTTAATAATTTCTGAAGGATTTATTAAGAGTGTGTTTCCAGTGGGTAAATGAATTACAGACTAAGATGTAAAGCAACTTTTTAGTCTTAAGCCACATCAACAATTCTTCATGAGTCATGCTAACTTTGTGGATTCCCAGCTGGAAGACCCTGATGTCCTCATCATAGTAAGATTCATTTTATTATTTATTATTATTCATTTCATGATATTGATATCTTTCTATTCTAATGTCAGCTTTAATTGAAATTATTACATTAGACTTTATGATTTTCCTCCATACCATTTTCAGTGTTAAAGAGGATTTTGTTTGATGAAGTAACAATGTAAATCAAAATGTTTTCATTCGTAAAAATTTTCAGATACAGAGAGCCATAAAAATACATAACGCACTGACAATACCTGACATTTTGTGGAATCTCACTCTAACGTGTTTAGCATTTCAATATCTCATTTATGTCACCTCCGCCATGTGTGTCAGAATAACAAAATAACAGTTCAGGCTTTTACAAAACAAAAAAACAAGCAAACTTGTGCAAATTTTTCCACAGATGTCACAAAGGTCCCGTCCATTGTTCGTCACAAGGGTGAAGGATCATCTTCTGTTTAGGCTTCGTGCTGTACTGGCAATGTCCTGAACAAAATTAAGTAGAAAGGAAACATCGCTTTCTGTCAGTTTATTTGTGGTAACTGGATTCATTTTCAATTTGTATGGAAATTTAGACACTTAGACAACATTGTTGTCATTTGAACATTAATGTAAATCTATCTTAAAAATCTTTGTTTTTTGAGATTATTTTGAGTGTTGCATTAAAATTTTGAATGTAAATTACTGTCATTTTGTACTGAAGAAGAACATTTTTCACAGATGTACCATAACAAGCACAATGAGTCCTCAAGAGACTTTTCATCAACCAGGAAATTAGAAAACAGTGTTTGAAAGTTTATAGGTTCCAAGTGTGTACAAAAACAGCCAGAAGGTACAGGTACTGAAGGAGAAAATTCAGCCTTTGTTGCACAATTAGTGACTCAAGTTGTCTGCCTAGCTATACTATATCCATGTGTCTGCACTCCCCAAGTAAAGGGAGTTGGCCACAAAAAGAACTGCATGGCACGAGAAAAACTATTTTGTGAGAAAAAGACACAAGTGAGTGATTTTTTTGTACATTGTGGTATTTTCTCTTAAATGGGCACATTAGTCACTCGAGTTACATAACTATAATTCTTAAGGCACTGTTTTTTCAATTATTATCTAGCTAGTTGATTTATGGGACTCAGCTGTCCCAGCTGTATTTGGCTGTGTGCACTGTTTTCTAGGCGGCCTAACTTTTTATTTTGATGTTTAATGTTTGTCTTGACTATTTGCCAAATCTCTTGCCAGTTTATTTAGACTTCCATGACTTCATCTTTGTTAAAATTCCAATTTCTTCTGAGAAAATTGATATTAAATATCTCCATCTGTATCTCATTGTCATTTACAAAGAATAAATGATCAAACTCTGTGCTGGTGTGAGTCTCCTTCTTTGTACTCCAGGTGGTTGATAAAGGTGTTCCTCAAGGATCAATATTAGGCCCCTTGAAATGTTTATTTTTGCTGACAAGTACAGTGTAACAGTCTGTTTTTGATGACTTGCAGACATCCGTTCTGTTGCTTTGGCTCTGATCTCCACTATACTTTACTTGAAACAACTTGTAGTCCTGAGTAAGCATAGTCCCCTGAATTTTTAGACAGTGCCAGAGGACAGTGACATGAGTGTGATCTTAAAGTCGATTCTGAAAGTCAGCACTTTTTACCCTCATGAACATTTTTTAAATTTCTCATTTAAAAATGTTGTAGTATAGTGCTAACACAAAATGTCTCCAAACTACTCATTGATCTATAAAATGATCTTGATCTTCTGCCTTGTTTCGACATTTTATTCATGCTGATTTATTGTTGTTATGTAGATTTTAGTTGACTTGTTCATTGATAGATGTTTTTTGATGAAGAGATTTGTAAAAAAAAAAACTCATAAATGTTAAGATAGACCTCATATGTGTGTGTGTGTGTGTGTGTCTGTTTTAGAAATGAAAGAAGTCACACCTGAACCAGAATGGGACATGATACCAGTTTATGTATATATTGCCATCGCCATCATAGCCATACTGATGCTGACTCTGTGTATGGTGGCAGTGCTCAAAGTGTGAGTATATACATATATACAGTACTTCATGCAAACACACACACTAAGATATACAATGATATTAGAAGATGAGCTCACTTCAGACTGTGCTTCCATTCTAGGATGAGATCAAGACAAGAGAAGAAGCCGGACTCTCTGCTCACCAGCCTATTTGCCAGAAATTCAGTTCTTACAGTGGTGGAGGCCTAAAAAGACACGTTCATCCGACGGATATTTTAATGTTGCACTCCATCTCTGTCATTCTTCAGGGTCTCTATATTGAAAATCACACTACGCAGCCCTCAAAGTGTTTGTAACCACTGCTAACACATACTGAAGATACTCCGTATTAGACTGAAAGTTATTTACAAACAAATATAATATTTACAAACAGTATTATACTATTTCAACATGCTATACTGCGCTTGCCTTTTTTGTTTACATTTTTATGAAAATGCTTACATTTGTATGAACTACTCTGTGATGTCATGTTAAGAGAAGAGTGGAGTAGAGGAGTAGAGTAGTAGAGGAGAAGAGTGTCAGTTATAATGGTTGCTTATTTTATGGCTACCACTTGCCAGCTGAGTTAGTCAGCAGAGAATATTTTGCAGATGTTGTGTTGAGGAGCGATTACTTATCTTTTGGGAATTTGTGTTTGATGTTTTACTACTTATTTGATAGTTAATCCAATCAGTAAGGGTTTTTTTTGTGTGGTGGAGAATTAATTATGTTTTATGGGTTATTTTATTAGATTTTTTTATTTTCACTTTTTGCCTCAATTCTTGCCAGATAGTTAAAACAAGAAATTATATGTTTTGTGTTTAAATCCACCACACAGAGATAAAACATATGAAATGGTTTTGTACTATGTCTTTACTTCACAATTCAGTAAGTGAAGTCTTTAATTGCCTGCAGAATTTAAATGAGAGGATTTCTTTAAATGGGTTAATACAGAAGAAATGAGTGTGTCAGGGGGTTTTAATGCCACAGCTCCTTGCCTGTTCTAGTAATTTTTTGTTTTTGTTTTGAAGGGTTTGAATCATAACATGAATGCAAAACAATGTTTACGTAATTGTTAAATAATATTTGTTCAAATGTGCCAAAATGCCTCATTTACATCAACTGTTACACTAAATGCGCCCTCCCTTCTTTTACATTTTGGTACATTTTGTTGTATTAAAACGTAGAGTTGAATGTTGTCTACACTTTATAATGAGCTCTAAGGTATCATTATTAATGTGACCTCACATCCAGGTACCTAACTATCTACTCTTAACAACTTAAAAAAAAAACAAAGAAATAAAGAAAATGCGAAAAATGTAGCTTCCATGTTCTCATATTGTGGGAATATTTTGAGCTCCTACTGTATTTAAATACACAACTAATTTTTTGTCTGACACTTAAATATAGAGCACAGTGGAAGAAAACAAGTCTATGGGAACAATTGGGCAGTTTAATAAAAACCAGTAGGCTATTTTTGTAAGATGGGTTCTGGGAAACAAAACTGTGGGAACCAGTAAGTGTTTTATTGCGAACTGACCCCTGTTTAATTTTGTGGCCTATTTTAAATAAAGTCTACTGTTGAAGTTACTATACGCTGTAGAATTGTAAATTCTTTCAAGAAAGTTTGTTAGTGAATATTAGGTACAATGAATTTGAAAATGTCTGCCTCAGATAAAAGTGTTATTCAGGGCAAAAGGAGGAGACTGTAGCAGAAATTGATCATATCAACTGAATTTGCTCAACTTCTTGTCTGTTTGAAAACTGACTCTTTTGAGAACTGTAAAAGGCAAAATTCTCTGGTTCTGACTTATCAGATTCAGCTTTGATCCCTAATATAAAAGTAGTATTGTCCATTGAATGCCCCCTTATCAAATCAATTAAATTTGGCAGAAGTAAACATGAAGGGGTAATTTACTTTTTAAAATGAAAATGCTTTGGTAATGATACAGTATTTAACATCTGCTCAACCTTGGTTTCGTGAATAAAATAGCTGGAATCTGTGTTTTATTTATTATTAATGAATCATGGTATATTTGTATAAAGTCAGGAACAATAACAGCAATAACTGCTGCACTTTGTACATAATGCTTTTGTAGCCATCTTATCAGATTGCTTTGAGCATAGTTTTACTTGCATATTCACCAAGTCATAGTATTTTGACAACCTCTCAACCTGCAAGTCAATGTTTCTATGAATGATTTTACCACACAGAAGGAGGCTCCATTTGCTAAGTTTGCTGCAACTTCTATACTAGTCATAGAAGAACAATCTAACATGCTGTATGTTCATATGTATCCATCACAGCTGCCTTTGTCTAAAAGAGAAAAAAAATATTTTATGTACAGCAAAGACAATACACCAGTATTGTGAAATTGAGGTATCTGAGTCAGTCAGTAGCATCAGTTGGGTAAATATGGATGTGAGTGGAATGAATACATGTGTGAACAATCAAATGATAGGTGTTGTAAGATGTCAAAACAAACCAAAAAGATGTGTCAGGCAGGGCCTGAGGGAGAGAGAGAGCGAGAGATAGAGAAAGAGAGAGAGAGAGAGAGAGAGAGAGAGAGAGAGAGAGAGAGAGAGAGAGAGAGAGAGAGTGACCCAGATGCTGTGGAACTGACTGGGCCTTACAATCAGGCTCCTCTGACACCTAAGAAAATGAATACACATTGAAAGGCAGGACAGTGGCTGTCAAAGGTACATGGCAGAATACTTGTATGTACGGTAAGATGACCTGTTATGTAGTTTACCCCATTTGCTTATGTAGATAGCCTGCTTTTGTTGAGAATATAGTATATAGTTATGGGTGACACCTGATTTTTGCCATACTCATGATGCCCTCTAGTGTCCAGATAAACTATGACACCCACCAGGTTTGTAGATGAAATGGGTGTTTTTGATATTTTTAGTGGATCATCTTGTGACATACAGATTAAATTATTATGATTATGATTATTAAATTAATTCAATTATGATTAAAACATATTTGTATTAAAGTGAACTCAATGCTTCCTCATACTAATATTTTTCATTTAACTTCACTTTTAATTACCATGTTCTGACACATGTAAATCTGATAAAGTGGTTATTATGCCACTTGTCATCTTGTTGTTAACAGGATCTGTCATTACCTTTATGTGTGGGTATTTGGCTGCTGAAGAGCAGAGCATTGCCAGTAAAGCCGCAGGAAGCTGTGAGTCTGTGTGCAGCTATGTTCCTTGCTCTTAATTAACACACATTACACTACTCTGTTGATACTGTATATACTGGTCTCACCAAACGAATCAATTTGCAGTGCAAGCATACGTTAATCACAGAATTTCCACTCCATGATAGTTTCTTTCATGTTGGGAAAGTAACCATCTGATTCCAGGCTGACTGCTGTTTTTGAGTGTTTGATCCAACATTCATTGACATCCACAAGGTCAGCTACGCAGCTGACTGCTTCCCACAGCAGGTCGCCTTGTCCATATTTGACTGTCCATGTGCTTGTGTGTGTCTATGGGTGATTGTGTTTTATAAAATTCATTCATCAGTAAAGAATGAATGAGAGAAACTGTAATGAATCTCTCTCTCTTTCTCTCTCTCTCTCTCTCTCTCTCACACACACACACACACACACACACACACACACACACACAGATATTTCTCATTTTTGGGTCATGGGTGAGGCACACAAATGTTATTCATGTAACTTGACTGCTGTATTTACACCAGGTTTTCCATGCACAGTGCTGGGGTTTATCAGGACCAAAGGGACTGCAGGGCAGCACGAGCTGATAGTGGAGGAGAAGTGAGTAACCTTTTTGAAGTTAATATGTAATTTTGGTGGAGCCAAGCTTGATGGAGGATTGGTTGGAAGGTAATGTATAGCCTGGGTGTTACTTTTCAGCCCATTTATCTGCCTCACTGGTCTGCTGACCCCAGTCTGCCGAGGACTTCCACTGCTGAGGATCAAATGAGGAGCTGGACAGCTTCAGGTTTGCATTCATAATTTTCTGGGATTTTCAGTCAATCTGTGAATAATTCTATCACTAAAACACTAATGTCCCTCCTCAGGCAACAAGGTGTCAGAGCCCATGTTTGTCTCTGTCCCCCGGGCTCAGTAACTGGAATCTGTCCCTGCAGAGTGAAAGTGTGCAGGGCCTGGCTGGTTACTGCACCCAGGGGCCAGGCTGCTCTCCAAAGGCCATATTATCGTCACTTCAGATAGAATCCATTGCATGAGATTCACAATCAAATGTGACTAAATGTGTTGTCTGTCCTGACAGCTGGAGTAAAAGATTTTTCTTGCTTTGGTTTTGTTTCCTTTGCTGAGATACAGCAAGCTGATATAATCCTCTACAGTAGTGGGGAAAGCTGTTGTCATACCCAAAGTATCCAGAGATGAGAAAAAGTAGCAGCAGCTGCAGAGGCACAGAATCATCCTCAGCTGGACACCCATGAAATAAATATTTTCTAATCTTATGTTATACAGTTATTATAAATCCTTACAATTATTCTGTGTGTTGTATCAGGTCAGTCTTATTGGAGTCTGTTGCTTCTCTTGTGCCTATTTCTATCAGTGCAATCTCAACCCCAGTCAAGCATGCAGGCGTCAAGTTTGTTTTCCTGTCTACTGTCTTACAAAAAGTAAACGCTTAATATTTTTTCTTTGTCTGTCTCTGTCATGTCTTTATTTTCATAGAGGAAAGAGAGAGAATCAAAATAAACACACCAGTGTAAACTGATTTTGGATCAGCACTTTTTAGCAGTTCTCATGGTTTTTGATCACTCTCTCTCTCACTCTCACAGCTCCAGATGTTATCGAGTCTGATCACCAGGTTAGAGTTGATAGTGTGGTTGTGGTCAAACATGGTGCTCTGATCACAGGGGAGAATTATTATATTTACTGTAAAACTTGACCAGTGCCAATATACCGCTTCATAATGCAGAGGCACGTAATGCAGAAAAAGCTGTAACTGTGTGGGTGGATTGCTGGGAGTGCTGACAACCCACTGGAATTTTGACCTTTGACCTTTATAATACACCAAAATTAGAGAGTGAATAATGTTAAAACCTTCTTCCCTCCAAATGAAAACATTGAAAACTTGCTCTGAGAAAAAGATTTGCATATTATGTGGATCAACTGACGCAGAGTGGGTGTTTGTGTGTGTGTGTTTGTGTGTGTGTGTGTGTGTGTGTGCGTGTGTGTCTATCCTGAAAGTTTCAAAACATTCATCTACAGTAGAATACATTCATTTTTTTTTAAATGTCCTGAGTCAATGTTCCACTTGTTTAAAGTGCCAAGTCCCCTCACTGTCAAAACATATTTCACTTTGTGCTCTAATGTTCAACTACTGACACGTGTACAGTGTGTGGGACAACAAATTAAAATGCTCATATCGGTGTCATGCTTTACAAACTGTATGATGTGTGTGCCATCTCTGCCACCCTGTCGTGTAACCACGTCACCTTTGACTAGTAAGTCACATTTCAAAGATTCCGGCGAGGTCACTGCTATTATAAGAGAACCACTGACACCGACACCTCACACACTCAACCCACCAATACACCATTCACAGGAGCCAAGCGTCACGTTCACACGGTGCAGTATTTTGTGTCTTATCCCCTTGGAGCTGCTGGGGAGTACGTTTTCACACTGCTGCAGCTGGGGAAATTGTTTATCCCTTACGAAAGATTCCTTAACCAGCTGTTGCTGTTTTTTTGGGTAAAAAAAAAAGAAAAAGAAAAAAAAGAGAGATTTCACACCAGGCTGCTCAAGTGTAGCAGTGCCTTCTGTTTCACACAAAAGATTTTTTAAAACTTTTCTTTCATAAACACACTTAAAAAAAAAAGTGTATAAATAAACAGCCTTAAGCCATCTTTTGATCTGAATAGTAAAGGGTTAAAAAAAGACCATGTTTTCATATTTTTCATCAATGGTGGCTGTAATGTTTGATAAGTAAACATCACAGTAAATTTAAGCCTTCAACCACATTCATCTATCACAGGCATGACAACGTAATAAAAATCTCCCACCTAATTAATTACATGGCATGGACGCATCAGCTCTCAGGCAGTTGTAAAGTTTAACTGCAAAACTTGTTGTGCGGTTAGCAATAAAAATCTTTCAGTTGCTAATCATGTTTCAACCAGAGGAAACCACGCGTAGCTGCCTCTGAGGAATATGTGCTCCCGGATAACGAATATGTAATTTTATCTCATTGCTCCTCCGTCTGAAAAAAAAAAAAAAAAGTGGGAGGAGGGGGGTGTCAGGACAAAACATCATACCATTGAAAATAATCATTTACACTCTTAAAACTCCCAAAACTACTGTTGTTTATTCTGGATTTTCCTTCATGTAGAAATACTTTGTACACATTTACATTTTTCCTTTGAGACAAACTGGTGTGAGTTTCCAAACAAACTACAAACACTCGATAGCTCCAGCATATATCAAAAGCTGACTAATTTACACTTCTAATATCAGAAGGCTTATCTTTACTAGATATGTCTCAGCTAAAACACATGGAGGGACAAGTTCAGTTTTTCAATATTTATAAAGTGGGAAATGATGCCATAAATACATTAACAACGAGCTTGTCCTCATGAAATGCTACAAAAAGAATAAAAAAGTAAATGCGGAGATAAGTCAGTCTCTTTCAATGTTCAGCCACTGCACAATCACGTCTGTGCTGAGAATCTACTGTCCTGTTTCTCTGACAATAGAGAGATCCAGGTCAACGTGCACTGGAAACGTCCAGCATCGGAGGCTCGTGCCTGTCCAGAAAGCTCTCTTTGCTTTAGCTTTGCCGCCTCACCGCTGATACCGGCAGGGCTGAGGGACCCGCTATAGCTGCATGTGTGGGGAGGGGGTGGGGGGTGGGGGGTGGAGGTCCTATTCAAACAGCCCTGGCCTAAATTAGGCCTTCACAACCTGTCTAAAAATAACAGGGAGCAAGACAGCAAGAGAAAGAGAGAAACAGGGTCTGTGCTCACATATGCATTGGCCATGTGCAGAGTGAAGAAAAGTAGCACGCCTCTTGTAAGGGCTGTGTTTGTGTATGTGTGTGTGTGTGTGTGTGTTTATGTGTGTATTTCCAGCAGCAGAAGACTCAGTACATTGCATCCTCGTATATGTCCGTCCGCAGGCAGAAGAGGATCCCTCCGCCCAGCATGAAGATGGTTGCTCCCCAGCCGAGCCCGTAGCCCCAGTTGAACTCATGATAGGTCTGAAGAACTGTTCCGTCGATGAACTTGATTGGGTAGAGGACCAGAGCGCAGGCCTGCAGAACCACTAGAACCAAAGGAGAGTCAAATATAAGATGAAATGGAATATATTTGGGGTTTGAACTGGTGGTTGGACAAAACCAAATGGTGACCTCCGAGGCTGAAAAATTAAGCCAACACGGAAGTACCAAAAACTGCACTTCTTGGAATGGCTGCTTGAGGCTCGCTCCAAAAGTGAGTCAATCACCATAGACTCCCATGTGAAAAATGCCCAACCTTACAGCAGAAATAAACATGTTTACAGCCTGGTACAAAAAATGGTTTTGGATCTCTATGGCTAATTTCCTTCCTAACTGTACGGGGGTTGAATTTTTATATAACTTACCTGTTTAAATTTCATTAAGGCTTAAAGTTCTGCATAATTGAGGTCGTGGCCGCTTTGAATGACAATTGAGTGGGCATATGCTTGGCGAGTTGAGTTTGGCGAAGTCAGGCACTGCCAAGATGGCGACGACGGAGCAGCCCACTCTGAGCTTCAAAACCACTCTTCAGAAACCTATGGGTGACGTCACGGAGGCTACCTCCATCTTTATATACAGTCTATGGACAAAGCCAGCAGTTTGAAGACAATCACCTTGAGCTTTGGCATTTGTCGTTACTCTGACATTTCACAGACCAAACGATTCATCAATTAAGAGAGAAAATAATCTGCACATTAATCAGTAATGAAAATAACAATTAGTGGAAACCTTACTTACCACTATCAGCACACCATTATAAAACTTCTATTTCTATTACAAGTACTACAATTGGTCCACTTCTGCTACCAACACTCAAATGTTATAGCAGTATTGATAATATTTATAAATAGTGTACAATGTTTTAATATATAGTCTGCCTATGAAAATATGAAAATATACTTTTTTATCTTTGAAATTTTATCCTTCATCTTACTGTAATTATTATTATTGCACATGAGCCTTTCAGCACATCCTGCCACTCCCACATTTCACTGTACATATTGAAAGATCCTTGAAACTGTTCTGCTACTACAGCTGCTGCCACCGTATTGTATTACTGTTGCAAGAACCCTAAGCTCTATCACTACAAGGTCTGTTTTACTTAATGTTTTATTGCCCTTGTGTCCTCTCTGCACAAATCTGTTTTATTCCTCATTAATTCTCCTGCTGGTTCTTCATCATCACATTGGCACTTCACTCTTTATTTGTTAAATTTTCAAACTTTTCTTTTCTTCTTTCCACCTTCTAAAATGCTTTTGTCCAACTCTGAATGTCATCGTTCTTTTCAGACTTTTTAAACAATTTTTTGCATTTCTCCTGCTTCACCTTGTTTCACACCTTAACAAGGAGAAGGTCTGTGCTTTCAGAGAAGTATTTAGTCCTTAAAAATGCACCATTCAAATCAAAAAAACATGTCATGGTAATGGCCTAGCTCTTTTGAGGACACGGATCTGACAGCTAACACACTGCTGTAAATGCAGAGATGTGACTGTGGCTGCTTATGAAAAGGGGCTGAAGGATGAAAAAAAGGAAGGTGTCGTTCAGTGTCTGCAGAGAGACCCGGGAGCCAGTGAAGGTAACTACAGAATCGTTATATTAGTGATTATCTTCTTCAAGTCAGTGTTTCTGCTGCTTCAGATGATCTCAGCAAAACCAGCCTATAAAGATTTATCATTAAAGGCAGAGCAATATAAAATATGAGTGCTTTTAGGAGCCAGTAAACGAGGAAAGATACATGTCAAAACAGGTTTATGTAATTTCAGTTGAGCCTTGAACTATTTACTTTTAGTGCCACAGGGTTTATTACTTTGATGAAGCTCCAAATAAATGGGTTGGCAACAAAAGGTTTGATTAATTTATTACTCTTGTGATGTCTTTTGAAAAAAATATCATCCATTAAAAATTTGTAATATATGTATTTGGCAGTAATTTTATTTGTATAGCAAATTTCAGGTGAGGACCACAAGTGCTTTAACAAAATAAAGCATATGTTTTTAGCATAAAATGTTTTTCTGTTTCTCATCTAGTCATCTGCATAAAAAGGCAAAAACACTTCAAGGATAACAATCTTTGTATGACACATCTTCCTGTGGGTCTTTTGTTCAGTGGAAATTAAGGCCTGACTTTTCTCCCTGACAGTGACTGACTAACACAACACATTTCCGCACCCAAAAGTAAAGTCCGTGCAGTTCCTTTATTTTGTGAAATATCAAACAATCGTCATTATTCTTTTACCCTTGAAACAAAATTACTTTTATTGCCTCCATCACTGTGAATCATTTTTCCTTTAAATCATTCAGCACCATGGACTACCGGTGGTAAATGTGTTGGCATCATTGTGAGTGTAAGAGCATGTGTGTGATCAAAGGTGTTCTGCGGTCTGCTCTCACTGCAGTTCCTTTGCGTGCGTGCCTGGTGACTCCGGAGGAGAGGACTGTGTGCAACTATGGCTCCACCTTTCCTTCCTACAGGACGGAGAAGTGGGCGTGCAGGAGGACGGGTGGTGGTGCAAGAATGTGGCGGTGTTGATGGAGGCCAGACTGAGCTTGCAGCCCGCTGAGGTCATATTTCTGGACAGAAAATAAATACCACACAGCCACAGTCCTGCCAAGGGGCATTTAACAACCAACCGTTCTGCTGCTGCTCTGCTGATGACTGTGTGCCTGTATGGAGTCCTTATTCTCACCAGGATCTTAAAGCAATTACACACAGGAAAGGATAACACTGCATTCCCACGCTTTTCAGTAAATGGCTAATAGTCAAAGACATGGCCATTATGTCGACTGCACACACTGGTCCTTTGTGACTGATGTTTCCAGGGACAGAACAAGACTACATTTTCCTAAACATAAACATTTTTCTGCAGTTCGACAACATCATATATATATATATAGATATATATATATATCTATATATATATATACACATTATTATCTATCTGGAGGAATTTCTGTAGATGAGAAGAATGACACCACTCTCAATGTCTGTCTCTTAAATGTGTGCTACAGAGCATAAAGACTGCAAACAGGGGGAAACAGCTCTGTCCAAAGTCAACTAAATGTTCCGACCAGCACCTGGAAAGCTCATGAATAAACATTTTACAGATGCAAAAGGTATAGGAGAGATACAAGTCTTCTCATCTACAGAAACTCATGTCAAATAACCAAATAAGCGTATGGTTTGCCAACTATTCCTTTAAGTTAATGAGGTAAAACTGCAGGAAGAACATTATTTGTGATAATTAAGAATGTCTGTTTTTTATATAATCCAATTTTATTTTGGAAACTGGTAAAACAGGAACTAGGCACGAGTTAAGTAGAGGTGAGTGGTTAATGTTTCATTGCTGTTGTTAAAGTAAAGTAAGCACAGGTTATGAGTCAGTTATTACAATGCCTGTATAGTATATGGAACAATGGATCTTGACTGCTAAACCTTTCCTCATAATTATGTTTTATAGATAGATCCTCCCTCAACAGTGTCAAAATTTGGTTTCAGCCGGAGCACCTTCAAGGATGCATGAGAAGTCCAACTACGAGGCAGTGCTGGCTGAGGAGTCTGTGGTGGCTGTTTTTTTTCACTCTGTGACTTCACTGTGTTGGTAACTCTGCAAATTCTGCGGCTACTTTTTCTTGGCGCAGGAGCGAGCAGCTCCCCAGACTCCACACCACAGAAAACATGAGCTCAACCAGCAAGCCTCCTTCAGCTGCTTCTTTTCTTCAGCACCCTTTTATTTAATTTGAGCACTGGAACAAAAAAAAAACACTGTCTATATGGAAATTGTTGTGGTTGTGGTGAATGCGTAAATGTACCATCTTTCTGTTTCAAAATGTGCAAAAGTATGATGTGTTGGAACATTGGATAAATATTCATACAAGGTGAGAAAGTGCAGAGGGGGAAGGTGCTGGTAAAGAAGAGGAAGACGTACCTGCAGTGAAGAGGAACACAGCCACGGTGCGGTAGTGGTATCTCTGTGTCCCCCGGCAGAGGGAAATAAGGGCCACCAAAAAGGCCACCAGGGTTGCCACGGCACCGGCCACCAGCAGCACCAAGGTGGCAATCTGCCAGTCTGCAGGACGGAACACATGCAGGTTAGAGTGGAGCATCCCACTCGACAACAAAAGCTCGATTCACAGAGCAGCGCTGTTGAATTGAACCGCTGTGCTGACAAACACAAAACAAGTGCTAATCCCACAGAGTGAAGTGAGTGAAGCAGAACAAACTGAGGCCTGCACGACACACGGCCTCCATCAGGAATACACGTAACAAGAACCTGATTAGTAACTCAGCAGTCACAGTTATTAGATTAAATATGCAGAATGTACCTGAACTACTTCTTATTACCCGTCATCATGCATGTTTAGTGGGTTTAAGTTTGTATTTCAAAGATATTCAAACCACATGCATCCTCTGAAACATTATCATTATTTCCACGTTTCATTTACAGTATTCTGAAGGCAACATAGGCTGAAAATAAATCTCTGTATATTCCTGAGCTTCAGAACAAGCTGATAGTTGATGAAGTCTTTAACTTGTGGTTTCCAGCCTGTTCCATGTCGGTTCAGCCCCGGAGGCTTTTTAACAGCACATTTATTCTATTTACTTCAAACAAACTGCATTTGCTCCTGCTGGAAAAGTAAAACTCATCGCTTCCAGTGCGTCAGAGGATTCTTCCCTGGAAATACCTACACAACACTCGGTTTTTTTTTGGACTCAGCTTTAGTCTTTATTCAGAAAAGCACTGAGAGAGAGTCTGAAACCAGAAATGTATTCCTCTATCTCCTGCCTGCATTGAGTATTCCCTCTTTGATGTCCCACTTATCACTGTCAGAAGAAAGCCAAACCTCAAAAGACTTGACTCAAAAGGAAAATTTGCATTTGATGAAGCTAACAAGCTCAGCGAACAATCTTTGCTGGGTTTGTGTGTGTGTATGTGTCTCTCTCTCTCTCTCTCTGAGCTACTGATTCACTTTTCTTCAGGGTGGTTAAAAGCAACATTTTGACAAAGACACATCTGAACTCGATTTGATTCATCCTTCATGGGAGACGTTTTTTTCTGACATCTTTGGGCCATTATGTGGTTACAATTTTAACTAAAATAAAAAACCATCTCTTCAAAGAGAATAAAACAGCATACTCACATCACTGGTATGTCTCTCTGTCACTCACTGACACATTCAGTCATTATACTGTTCCCATCTACATCATTTTAGTCACCTGCAATTTGTCCTGTATGGAAACGTGTCTGTCATATTACATCACTCCAAAGATGAACTGAAATTTAAGACTCCTGGGATAGGTATGAAAATATGTGCATAGTAAATCTGCTTCGCCTTTTTGGTGAACTGCACCTTTAACCCTAACACACCCCTCCACCGCTGCTTTAATGAGCTCTGCAGACACTCAAAGCGACAAACCGCCTCCTATTCACCCCAACACATTCCACAATATCAGAGGGCAGTCAGAGAGCAGCCTGTGTTTCCCTCTTTGTAGCTGTTTGTGTCTGTGATGGTGGTCAACGTGCAGCAAAAGTCACTCTCTCCTGTTAAAATCATACAACAAAAATCATACTTTTGGCAACCAATTAGGGCAAAACTATTATATATGTTCATTAAATTTATATTTAATTCTCTATGGCGTGCTTTCAGCCTTCGAGTCTTTTTTGTGAATATCTTAACAGCCAGCTACTGTATGTTTAATGGAGCTCCACAGTACCAGCCACCAGACAAATGCTGGTAAATCTGGTACATTTAATACGGATTTCCTCCCCGGGTGGGGAAAGGAAGGGGGTTGGGTGCGTAAACACTCCTGTCATGTGGCTTCTATGCTTGACAAAAGGCAACCTGGTGGGTCCAGGTCTGGTGAGGTGGACGACGGGGAAGATGCTGCATGTGTCTTTTCATATCCCCTCAAAGCCTTCTGGGTGGTTAGACTGTGTTAACTCTTTGTGTGCCAAAGGGATTTTTTTTTAAAAGTTTCTACAGAATGCCATCAGTGTTTTTCCTGTTATTTTTCATCCTAACCATTGGAAACTGACATTGCATTCACCAAGAAGTAATGTTAAATTACTCATAAAGAATCAACGTTTCAACATGATGCTGATTCACCACCCTTTATGACTGATTCGTTACTCACAGCAACAATGAAAAGAATGATAACTATTACTTAATCAACATGGTCTCAATTTACACTCTGTTGTCTTGTGCTCATGCATGAATCAGTCAAACCATGCTGGCTGAGCTGAGCATCACAGTGTGTTTGTCATAGTGACACCACGTCACTGCTCTGGTATGAAGAGAGGAAATATTTCAGCAGCACAAGAAACCATGAATGCCTGGACAGAGACCAAGAGGCCAACTAAAACAAACTCTGGCTGGGAGATGATGTCCATAGAGGCCAGTCTGATGGTTTGTACAGTTCAACAAATATTCCTCTTTGTTTGTTTCAAACACTGGATGTGCAGCCTCTTTATGGCCCTACTAACACATCCTGAAAACAAGTCACTGATAACATGTTGGTTTAAAAACATCTCCACAACTTACAGAGTTAAGGTAAATATATTTTATACCATATAAAGTACTTCTCCACAAAAAGTAGTACTGCAGTGGTTCAGCCTTGAGATCTCAGCTTTATGTAGCACATATTTTCAACATCGTCCTACACTGAGCAACAACAGGTCAAAAACCACAGCAGTTTGCCACTATTCTCAAAGAAAATAACAGCTTCCTAACCCCAAGAGCAAAAAGTTATAAACAACAAAACAATAAAATGTGAAAAAAACAAAAAACAAATGTGCAAAAAACAATCATAGAGACTGATTCCTACCAGATGTGAGGGTGGAGAAGCAGCTCCACTGAGGCTCCTCTGTCTGGTCCCGTGCCTCGGACTGGGAGCAGGACTCCCACAGAGAAAGGGAGAAATGCTCGGCGGTGACCCAGGCAGGGCTCAGCAGAGCCACCACGTCCAAACACAGCGCGAGAAAGACGCACAGCAGAGCGATCAGCTTGAAGGGTCGGAACACATACACCTCGTTCACAGACATCTTCTCAGTAAGAGATAAACACCGCTGCAGGTCAGTCACTGTGAGATCAGCTCGCTGGAGGTCCGTGTGCGTCTTCTCCCACCATAGCCTTCACTGCTTTTCTGTGTGTCCAGCTGGAAAAGTTTAACAAGAGACATCCGGTTAGATCGGGTTTTCAAAATAATTGTTCTTGTGCTGTGCTAGACCAAAAAGATATGACCCTATATATAACTCTAACCCTTATTTAAAAACTTTTTTTTTTTTTTTTAGCCATGTGGCTGCAGTCTTCCACAATATAATAAACTGCAGTATAATAATTTACACACATTTTTTCTTCTTTTGTGATAACTATAGCCTAATGATTAATTATTAATCATGATTATAATGTAAGTCTGCGTGGTTTGATTTTGTTTGCAAAAAAATTCAAAGCAGGACAGCACAGAGTTTAAACTAATACTAGGCCTATGTCAGTTTTGGTGCACTTAGTATAGATACAGTTTCAAAATATTAATTGGGTGTCCATATGTCAGGCTTACTCCATGGACTGAAACAAAATTAGGACTAACAAAACAATAGGTAAAAGGGATGGGCTACAAAACATGATCAAAGAATAAAAGACTCTTTAAACTCAATCCCAAATCGAAGTTAGACTATATTTGGAGAGGGTATGAGCTGATGTACCACTTTTAGTGGATGTCAAAAACTTCTGGGAAAACAGACATCCACAACAATATAGGATAAGTCCTGCTCAACCAGGCCCCATAAAGTCTCAACTTTGGTGCTTTTATTTTGAAAGCCAAATTAGGAAACCACAACCTCTTTAGAAGTTTCTACATGTTTTTATTTTTAGAGGGCCAGAAAGTTAATTCAGTTCCCCTTCAAAGTCCCCTCAGAGGGAAATGTAACACACAGTTTTTCACACATAAACACACACATAAACACACACACACACACACACACACACACACACACGCACGCACGCACGCACGCACGCACGCACACACTTGAGGAAAAACAGATCCTCTAAATGCAGTCAAAAAAGTCATTATACAGCACAGTATGGCCTACATAGAATAGAGTTAAACTGGAGCAACAACAATAATACAAAATCACACCTAAACAGAGTATGCAGTCAAGCAGAACAAAATATAAAGTGAGCATAAAGATAAAAACCTAATCAATCATAAAAGTGAAAATCGTGTGTACTTAACCACTTGTATTAGACTCACATTTTCCACTGTAAAACCAAGTCAGTACAAATACTGACACCATGTATAACTTCAAAAGGGGGGCGTGATTCTGACACATGCAACCAAAAATATTGTGCATATACCAAAACGTATAGGAAGACAAAATAGTGATGCAAACATTGATTTCCCCCATCTCAGGTAAGACAATAATGCAATGTGGAATTAAAGGGCCAGTACATATTTATTAATATAAGATTGTGTGACTAGCAGTGCTATTGATTGGAGAATAGCTCATAGGCTACATATTGTGAATTATTGTAATGTGGTAATGATCCAGCAGATGGCAGCCATGCAACATTTCGGTTACTAATGTCCACAAAACAACATTATTTCTACTGTTACTACCTATTCCCTTTATTACACCATGATTTGTGTAATTATCAGAAGTAGATATGATTTGTAGCAGGAACAGCAGTACTTATATGAACATGTTGACCACAAAAGACAAAAATCCAGTGCTTGCTGAAAATTGTTGTGACATTGTAACAGTAGAGCTGTCAGTGAGCTCGTTGGTCTTTTCTGTTAATCCCGTTCTGGCTTCTTCACACAGCCAGTGTGTAGGCCGAGCTCACTGATATTTTTAACTACTTTGGGAAATAACCCTTTCATCCATGCTCAAACATATGTTGGGTTTAATATCTCCTGTAAACAGCCACAGAATTTCATACACTTCATAAATCCCCTAAATGAAATGACAAGTATAAAATTAGACAAGATTTGACTACAATGTGGTCCAGTGATTTTCACTCGCTCCGTATGTCTGGTGAAATATTTCCATCTTCTGGTGAACCAAATAATTGCAGGAGTAAATATGGATAATCAGATGGATGTGGGACAATCCAAACGGCCTTTCTGAACCACATCTGTTCAATCTCCATGTGTTTGAGGAAGCTTATAAGGTGGCTTTTGTTTTTTTCAACACAATCCATGTCAACCACCTTAATGTTTCTACACATTGTCACTCTCGTAAGGCCATAAGAATGGCCATCCACGCTACACCTTCAACTGTTTGTCACACCAACGAGAGAAAGACATGAGAAGCTACCCACATATCTTAAGAATCAAGCTGGCTGCCCAACATGATGCACTGATCTGCTGTTATGGAAATTAATAATTCATTCCTTGATTTCATAAAAAGTGATGCATTTCTTGGGCATTAAATACATTTCTCCAATGTGTAGAAATGACACAACTTCCAACATATCCAGAAACATTGTTAAGAATAAAGGAGCCTTTTGTTGACACAAGTACAAACCATCACATATTCTTAGATGAGCCTGTCAGACTTTCTTCTTCACACTTTTTTGGTTGAATGATTCACTGACCAGCGGCCATGCATCTGCCTCACAACAATAATAGCATGATGACGAGAGGGATAATGTGTTTGAATTTGTTAGAATATCTGCCTCCTTTTTCCTTCGATAAAGAAGAAAAGAAAATACCATGAAACCCACAATAAGTTACATTGCAAATATAGATGGATAATCTGCAAGATCCAAGTTTTTTAAATTTTGGTGACAAATTTTAGTTTTACAAATGAGTTTCTATAAACTCACCCCGAGTGTTAACTGTCCTGTGAGATTTTAAAAAAATCAATTTTCTTGCTATGAAGTTTAAGTTTATTTACCCTCCTGTCTTCCATTCTTTCAGTTCACTTCTTTAAGAAGTATAGATACACATGATGTTGATGTTAGTAATGATAAGTAATGGTAAAAAAAACCTCACTTTTGTGAGTGAGGGTTTTTTTTTCCTGACAGACACTGAGTGTCACTGTGTGTGGCAACTACAGAAGATGGGTACATATAACTGATTTATATGAAAACATAAATAATTGTTGCTTTAAGCACTTCAGAACTAGTATATATTCTGAACACAGCATTTGGTCTCCAAACAAATCTTCAAACAGAAGTGATTTAGGTACTTTGAATTACACCTCTGCTGCTCTCTCGCCCAGTTTGGTTTAATTCTACCCCTATCATTTGGTGCCTAGATTAGAGGTTTTCAGTGTATCTGACATAATGAGAGTTTCAGACTAATGCCACCCTTCTCAGTCCTAATGGTACTACCAAGCTGCCAGCAGGGTATCTGAGTAGGGGGATCTAGTATTAGGGGTATCCATGGACAGAGCATTGCTCATTTCCTTTAAATGCCCCTCCTCCCCGACAGAGCACGCAGAGCGCTCTGTCATCCTCCTCCAAAAGCCCCTCATTAGAAAATCTGCCGAGCAGACAAAGCTACTTGAGATGGCACAATGGTGACTCCCCACATGGTGATTTGAAAGAGCATAAAGGAAATCCAGGTCATGTTTTACTTTTTGGGATCCTCTCTCCCTAATTCTAATTTATCCACTGAGCCATCCACCTATATACCTGATTTATTTCATCCACCATGTTTTAAACATTCAGGTAATGTTATTCAGACTCCCACATGCCAACACAGGCGCAAACACACCAGATGGTTAATACCCTTTCCCCATGATAAAGATAACAAAGCAAATCAAGTAAAGTGACAAAGATGTAAGGAGAACGAGACGATGGGAAAATGGGGAGGGGGTAGAGTATATAAAACAGTAAACACACATGACGATGACACATCTGTGATTCAGCAGAAGTTTAATTAATAATGATGAAGGTTACATAGTGTCTCTGAGGATGAAAAAGCTTCTTCGCAGACTACACATCACATGACGTCATCCTCTGTTGCTCATTGCAGTCTTGCTGGGGAGGCTGCAGCTGATTAGGCTCAGAATAAGCCTCTCAAGGTTTTTCCGGCTATGAATAAGCTTCCATGGTAACTGATGAGGTCTTGTTTAATGATGCTGCCATTACTACAGAGGTCTGCCCAGCTCATCTCTCCTTTTTTACTGTAACACCACCATCACACCATCATGAGTCATGCTGTGGTCAGACTGCGTGTAGAGAAGCAATTTTACATGTTAACACCCTATGAATCAGGAATATTAACTTACACGGTCTCATTCATTCATTCATTCTTCTATAGTGTTGTGGAATGTCACTTTTCAATGTATTTGTTTTCATTACACACGGTTACTTTTTATTTAAGCAATAACAGTACTTTTCAAGTCACTACTTAAAAGAAATATAAAACAAAAGGATAAAATACCAGCTCATATAGAAATCTAGCAGAAATCTACAGTTTACTTCTTTCTTTTTTGAGTAAAACAAGAATTAAGTGTATAGCCATGCTGTTTCTTTGTAGGCACAGCAGTGATTTGAGCTAAATCAGCACGCTAACATGTCACAAAGAAAATGCTAAAATGCTGATGTTTAGCTGGTGTAAGGTGCATGCTAACAATTGCTAATTAGCGCTAAACAGAAAGCACAGCTGAGGATGATGGGAGTTATAATTTGACCTCACTAGTCAGTTGTGGAAAGTAACAATACATTTACTTAAGTAATGTACTTACAGTTTTGATGTGTGTGTATTTTTCTTTAGTATTTATATTTTCTACTATACTTTTCCCACTTCAACTCAGCGGCAAATATTGTACTGTAAAGTTAGTTAGTTTGCAGATTCAGATAATACAAAACAAAATCAACAAAAGAATCATAAAATTATGTAATATAATAGGTTAAGACAAAGTAAGACGTTAACAAGCAAACAGTTAGAATTAGCCCCACTTGATAAGCTGCAACAATAAAGTGATGTACACATAAATGCATCAATAATTATAATCCAATAGTATAATATACAATATTTTGTAATGGGCCATTGTGCAGTTTGAGTACTTTTACTAGTATATTTTGATATTAATACTTTCTTTCGTCTTTGATTTGTAACATTTACCACATACCATCGCAATCAGTCCAATAGTTGTTGAGAGATT